AATAATAGACCTAAGCACTATGTCACAACACAACAAAAGATGCAGGACAGATGGAATAACAAAGCTGCCGACAATCACCCAAACATTGCCGAACACGTACAAATACTACAAACTCATTGAGATCAAATTTGGCACTACTAATCGCAAAAACCGCTTTCCACGTCAGTACTCAAACTACAACATTTTCCACCTTTTATGATCCTTCTAGCTAGACATGCAGCTTAGCGAACCACCATTGAAACCCCATGCATTTGAACACATACAGTTAGCGGACAAACTGTCGTATAGCGCCCCAGCTCAACTGTATTTTTAGGGTTATCATTTTCGGCGATCGATAGTTTGATAGCAGCAACTATAACCATACATGACTGCAGCAAATATAACCACGCAAATAAAACTTAGTATCCATGTTTAGATGCAATGCCACACCTGAGGATCTGCTCCAACGTTAGGCGACCGCCATTCTGCCGCATTTCTGTCTGCACAGACCCCGCGTACCGATCCATCACGAAGCAGAGGTGCCCGCCGACCCTCACAGCACCATGGAACGTGGTAACATTCCGGCACCACGTCGCGGCGCGCCTCAGCCGCTCCACCTCCTCCTGAACGCCCTCAAGCACATCCCCCGCGGTCACGGGCACCCTCTTCACCGCCACCGGATGCTTACACCTCTTGGCCCCACCTCCCCCACCACCACGAGACAGCGTGCCGGACCACACCTCCTGCCCCGCGGGGCCCGGCGGCCCGCTCCCGATGCGGCGGGCGAGCTTGAGGTCCGGATGCGAGGCGAGGTCGAACGAGGCGCAGCCCGCGGGCTGCAGCGACGGCGCCGCCGCCCCCGCCCCCGCCCCCGCGGCGGAGGATCGGCGGCTGGGCCGGCCGAAGAAGTCGTCGTCGTCGTCGTCGGAGCCGTCGGAGGAAGAGCCGCCGGAGTCGGAGTGGAGGAACGAGGGCGACGACGGGGACGACGACAGCAGCGAGAGGATGGGGAAGTTCTTCCGCAGCGCGGAGACGGAGTTGCCGACGGCGGTGGGGTGGCGGCACCGCGGGCACGCCAGCACGGCGCCCGCGGCGTTGGCGAGCATCCGGGCGAGGCACGCGCGGCAGAAGCCATGGCCGCAGTGGAGCAGCAGCGGCGCGCGCTCCTCCTCGTCGTACCGCACGTGGCACAGCGAGCAGCACGGCACCCGCATCGCGGCGCGGCGCGGCGCTGCCCTAGCTAGGGCGCGGCGCGGCGCGTCGGGGAGGAGAGAAGGGGTAGATCTGGGGGGGCGGTGGTGGTGGGGAGCGGCGGTGGGGAGGGGAGGGGGGGGTTTGGGAAGGAGGAATGGGATTTTTTGATGGGGGGGTTGGTGATGATGATGATGATGATGATGATGATGATGCGGTGGGAGCCTAGGAGGGACGACAAGCAAGGCTCTCTCCTCTTCGCTCTTGGGAGGGGAGGGGTGTGCGGTGGTGTGTTGGCCGTTTCTACTTTCTGTTCCGGTTTTGTCGAGTGTTCTCGCCTTCTCGGGGGGATTTTGGGCGATGTTGGAATAAGTTCTCCTCTTTGGTTTGGGATTTAGTACTTGAGTCATGTTCACTTTGATGTCATTTTCAACCTTACCAAATTTTAATAAAGTTATCAAAAAAGTGGCTACATTTAATTTGCTGTCAAATTTTGGTAACTATATAAGAAATCCTGTCTTGCCAAAATTTTGGCAACTATATTAAAATTTTGGTAATGTCAAAATTTAGTAAGGTTTTTTTTGGCATCAAAGTGAACAGGTCCTTGGTTAGTGTGAATGAATAACTAAAAGCAACTTTGTTATGTTCTCTTTTTTATTTTCTTTTTTTTGGCGAGCTAACTTGCCACACCGATCAAGAAAGGGCTGAGCTGACGGATAGACCGGTTTGGAGCTTGCTTGTCCTAGATGTGCTTCCCCGCAACGTGCCCGTACACGCTATATGTAGTTTCAGTGATATGCTAACTTTTTTTTTTACCGATCGTTTGGTCCACGGAGTGATATGATTCTCTTTGTTGGTTAGATAGGTATAATGGTCAAATAGGCAAGATGTTGTTTTGATAATTATTTTTTCCAATGTATGGCCTCATCCTTTGCCCTACGGCTTATAAGCTAAAGCCAAAATTTAAATTTTAAAACTTGATTTTGAATTTGATTTTGATTCTATTTTAACATAGTTTTTTTCAACTTTGGCTTTTCAATCGGTAAGAACAATATATAAAACTTTTACTCGCATATTATTTCTTAATCGTTAAGAGCAAGCTTAATAGTATAGCTAACTACTAGCTCCAAATCTTCTATAGCCAATGTAATAGACAATTCATACAATAGCTGCTTACTACACTATTAATACTTAGTCCCACCTGTCATACACATATTACGTCTTGGAGTCCGTGTTGCAGCTGGCTACAGATCTGTAGCCCGCTTCCCTTATCTCTCTTCTTTTATATTTTTAAAATATGTTTATAGCTAGCTTATAGTCTGCTATTGTACCTGCTCTAATAAGCCGTTATGGCTTATAATAAGACTAGACCAACCGATGGGGACCGTAGTTATTGTAAGTATAGGAGTAAAGCCAGGTATAGTATTTTCAAACTTGAGAAAAAAAATGTAAAAAAAACGTACTACTAAGGTTGTGTTCGGTTCTATGGGTTGGGAACCCATCTCGCACGCACGTAAAACGGAGCGGTCTATTAGCGCGTGATTAATTAAGTATTAGTAGCCTTTTTTCAAAAATGGATCAATATGATTTTTTAAGCAACTTCTGTATATAAACTTTTTGCAAAAAAAATGCATCATTTAGCAGTTTAAAAAGCGTGCGCACGGAACACGAGGAAGAGGAGTTGGGAACATCCGGTGCCGAACACAGCCTAAGTGTGTGGGCGCTACCATCAATCGTGAAAATTGTCTCCACCTATTGTAACGCACAGATATTTTTCTAGTACAATAAAAATAAAAATATCTTGTTTGTGGCTTAGCTTTACCGTATCTTATATTCGGATGAGTAAACTATACCGACTATCCTTAAACTTTTATATGCATATTAGAGCCCATAATCTAGCTTGGGCTACTAGGTCATTTTAAAACTAGTCCATGCACATGCATGTTCGATAAGAAAGCATGCCAAAATACACCATATGAGACGAAAACATGTAACTGTAACAATGAAGTTTTATACTAGGTTTACTGTAGCGATCTACAAATAAGGTTGAACAGCAAAAACAACAAAATACTATAAACCGGCTATAAAATTAAGTTCTGAAATTTAAATTGTCTACTGCTTATTTAGGTTTATACTACTTCTGTTCTCATTTACTTATAATTGCTTACCACAAAAGTTATTTGCAAATACTTGTCACTACACGGATCCCAAAGCAAAATTTTCCATTTCACCTTTAGAATTAATAATTCCATTCCACTCAGTCATACTTATTGTTTCTAGAGAGTACTCAACTATATTGATGATTAGATAGCAAAAATCCGACAAAACCCCCTTATGTGAATTTGGCTGGGGAGGCTAGTCACGTGTAAACAATATAGAAACGAAAGAACCGATGAGTTCATTAGGATGTATACAAGCTCGGAGGTACAATACCCTATTCTTATTATTTGTAGGATTACCCCTATCTGTTATGAGGATCTTACAAGTCTATTGATTACTCAAAATAGTTATGCTTCCTCTCTTCTGGATTTCCTAAGAACCACACAAAATATGATAAAGTCTCTTTTCTCTCACTTCCAACCCTCCTCGCTTGTCCTGGTTCTCCCCATATATCTTCACCAGGGAACACCTGATGATCAAAGCTCGAGGAAAGATATTGTTTTTCTTTACTAAAGGAAATATATTGTTCGTATCGGGATCAAATATGGTAAGTCTTGCCAGGATCTCCTCTCATTGCCCACCCCGCTGCCCTTGGGTATGCCTTGGCGGGGTCCACCATGAACGGGATATGGTGAGAACTCACCACGATACCTAGCTCAATCCATCGTGGCCTCGGGTAGCCCGAGTAGGGCTCGATACAAGTAGCGTGTGGCGGTGGCTTGCCATGCACCCCTACTCAATCCATGCAAGCATGCGAGGAATAGGGTTCTTCACACATTGTTGGTCATAGGGGCCCACCTATCAATGTTTGGTGAATGGCAGTTAAAGGGTAGGGATCCCGACGGGGTTATGATAGTCAACCACTCTCTCCCAGTTCCCCACACTCGTGTAGGCATACATGGTTAAAGTAATGGGCGACAATTGCAACAGTTGCCGCCATGTCTTTCACGCGCCTTGCTACGGGGTAGACATCCGTCTTGTCGCTAATAAATCATATGATGTCATGGGCCCGAGACATCTCGGGCTACGTTGTTTCATGTCTCTGTTATATAAATGGCCACAGGCTACCTCGGGGCCCTTGCGAAAAATATTCACGCGCTGTAAGGTTATTTTTTGAAAGCATGGGCAATCCCTTGAGGGCCACCCTTTAGCACTTTGAGGTGGATTCATGTGTCATCTTTGATCGGCTATATGTTTAAGTAATTATAGTAAGGGTCAAATTATCATCTTCTATAAAAGTTATGATTCCCTATTTTTTTTTCTCCCTAGTCAATAATAGCAAATGAAGAAAACTAGTACTTCCTCCATTTCACAATGTAAGTCATTCTAGCATTTCCCAGATTCATTAACATTAATATAAATGTAGAAAATGATAGAATGACTTACATTGTGAAATGGAGGGAGCAATACATATGCAGTATGATGCTGAATATCAATTATTTGCCTTTGTTAGTTATACTTTATAAGACTTGTTAGTTTCTACTTTATGAGATTATTACTGTTTTAGTTGTTTTAGCTGGCTGATTACAAGATATAAGTATCATCAACAGAACAATACACGCAAAATCCACACGATACCCTCGTGTCGTGCCTACCTTGGATCTAATCTAAAGCCCGGATCAAAACCAAGCCAAAAGCCTAGTGAGCCCAGCTCGCTCCCGTTGATCCGGTGAGCGAGCCCTAATACTTCCAGAAGCTCCTCTTCTTCGCCGTGCCGAACACTCGAATCGCATCGCATCGCACCACAAACCCTCCCCCCCGACCAGAAAGCCAAGAAAGAAACCTTTCTTCGTCGGTCTCTCTCTCTCTCTGCCCATGGACTTCTCGGAGCAGGACGTCGAAATCTTCGGCGAGGACTACGACGACGCCGAGGCCGACGGCGGCGGCGGCGGCGGTGCCTCGTCCGGCTCCTCCTCCCCGTCCTCATCCTCCTCGTCGTCCGCCGCCGGGTCCTCCTCCTCCTCCAGCGGCGCCTCCAGCAGCAGCGGCGGGGGCGGGGGTGGGGGCGAGGACGAGGACGGGGTCGACCAGGGGGACGCCAGGGGGTACGACGACGACCCGTTCGACGGCGCGCCCGCGAGGGCCGCCGGTGGGTACGGTGACGAGGAGAGGGGCGAGGGTGATGCGGAGGAGGAGGAGGAGGAGGAGGAGAGGGATTTGTTCGGCTCTGACAACGAGGATTACGTCAAGACCCCCGCGCGTAGCAACTACCTAGTCCCAGGTCCGCCTCTAATATTTGCTAAATTATCGTGCACATTTTGGGTGACAATGATCAGTCTCTAAGCATGTCTAATCAGTAGAATTAATTAGGGCATTTTTACAAAATCCAACCCAGTTCTTTTGGTTGCGGGTAAGCTGATCGTAGGGTTTAGGGGATTCAGTGAGCATGTAGAAAATTGCGGGTTTCACATGTATGTATGATGAATTATTCTTGTTCTGGACTTTTTAATTCTTCCTTCCACTTTCGATAGGCATATGATACGCACAATGTGTCTTATAAAGTAACAGTACATCATGGCTACTGTCTTCTGCTTGCAACTCACTTTTAAATCGCAAGAGATGTTTTACAACACCATCAAGCATAATTGTTGGAGAGTAGCCATTGAACACTGCCTAACGATAAGTGTTAGGGGCTATTGGATTAGCTGATAGTTACATTGCACTATGCTAGTATGTTAATCTCCCGTTTTGATTATAGGTAGACTACAGTTGAATAACATCTATCTGCAAACGAATTTGAAGTATAATTGAAGTGAACTCTGCAGTAGATTACAGTTATGAAGAATACTGCATCTGATCTGATTTCCTCTGTAGAACAATTTTTTTCACATTCTTCTCAATCTGCCATCTAACTAGAAACATAGAAGTTTGAACTTTGAAAGATCAAAGTTGATAATAAAACATGCATAATTTATTGAAAACCTTCAATATATGCTAATCATATTTGTGATAGGAAGCTCCCTAAAATCAATACGCTATTTGTGATGATTTAGTGCTGGAAGGAATGGAGATCATGCTAATGCTTTATGTGTAACAACTTGATATCTATTGTTGGCATACATTTTATCAATCTACTAGGTCCATTAGTGATTGGTAATGCCCATGCTTGTGGTAAAGATTGTAACTGGGTTATTTTACTGGCTATACGCTTGATATGTTGGTGCGGGGCTTGGGGCAGCTAGCACTTTAAAATGTTTGAATTATCTAGGAGGGAAGGTTGAGCTTCAACACTATATTTCATTCCATGCCTTCCCTTATAGTGCTACCCTCAATACGGAACACCAACAATCATTCTCGGGGAGGATATGGGGGGCGGAATGGCAGAGGTCCACCTCTTCTTCCAAGGCCAGGAGGCCATCCAGGACGGCATAACTTTGGATATGGTGGGAGGTTTTCGCATGGAAATGGGCGTAATGTTGAAGGTTTTGTTTCAGAAATGAAGCTTAATAAGAGTGAAGAAACTTTATCTAGGAAGTTTGTTGCTTTTCAGGAGGTGAGTAATGATACCATATTCTTTTGATTTTTATATATTATCTCTGGTATCTATGTATCCAAATCCTTTCCTATTCATGCAGCCTTCTGAGATTGCATGCTACAGCCGTATTGAGGGTGGGGATGTATATTTTGATGACCGCAGCTTGGTAAGATCACAGAATTGCTCACGATCAATTTCACTTTCCCTTTAGTTCGCCATTTCCTTAAAGTCTGTCTATGTAGTATTACAGAAAAGTATTGTTATAAATTTGCTGCTGTACTAAACATACTGTTATTTTAGAGGCTCTTCAAACGTAACATTTGCGACTATGTTGGTGAAAATCTCAATAAAGGATTTGAATCTTTTATAGAGAAAAGAGGTAATTCCATCAAAAACTCATGTTTTCTGTTTTTATGTTCTGGAGTACTCCCTCCGTCCCATAAAAGGCAAACCTTGTACGAGATGTGACACATCCTAGGAGACATGTCCAAATTCATAGTACTAGGATGTGTCGCATTCCGTACTAGGTTTGTCTTTTATGGGACGGAGGGAGTAGTTGATATAAAGAGTACTGTTAAATGTAGAAATTGTTCTTATCTCTGGTATTGCAAACTTCTGTTTCAATCATCCTGGATTAACTTGTCCACATTTATAGAAAGTTCATGACAGCATGGCACCTTCCACTAATTTTACTTGGATAATTTATTCTTCCTTAAAAAATGGCATGAGAGAAAATACATAACTACTAATTAGAGGTTCTAATTATTTCTCATAGAGCCAAAAGAGAAATGAAATAAATTATTGGAACTAATTAACCCAGAAGTTCTTTTTTTTTTTTTGGAATGAGTTGAATCCTACATGTGGATCCAGATAAACAGTAGTTCTGTTATTTGGAAGTTGTTCTTTCCTTTTGAATTTATTTTCATTCAAGGGGACTGTTTCATGACGAATGTGGTTTAATTGTCAATATCAGATTTGGGTTCAGAAGGATTTGGTGATCTTCTTGCATGCATAAGAAATTCAACTGTACCTCTTCAGAACATACATTTTGTGGTAAAATGCTGCTGTCAACCTTCCGTTTTCTATTTTAGTACTCTATGCATGGCACGCTGATCATGTATGATGCTCTTCTTGCAGACATACCGCAACAATCTTAACAAGGTATGATCCTTCTAGTTCGAACTATCTAAAACAAACTCTGTCTTCCCCTCATTTTTGTAGCATATACCACTCGTTTTGTTCAATATGCTTGTATGTTTATAGATCGATATAACAACTAATATTGTTACCAGATATTGGCCACGGCTTATCTAAGAGAACCATGGAAGATGGGTGTGCACAAAAGAAATGGTGTTGTATACCTGGACGTCCATAAGCTCCCCGAAAGACCACAAAGTGAGGTTGAACGCCGGAGGTGATTCTCTTTCTCTGAATGCTTCATTAAGTTGATGTATATGGTGATGGTAATACTGTTAGTGATGCTCGTTAAACGCATTTATGTTGGGTGATAGAAAAAGTTGATATCTGGTATGGTAAATATATTAATGGCCTTAGTTTATACTTTATACGTGAATTGTCCTATAGAGATTCTACTTTCACAAGAAAGATAAATGGAGATTCTCTTTTGAAAAGTGTTCCTGTTTATCCACCATCAGTTATTTATATCACAAGGATATCTTGTCCAATTTTATTTCTTTATGCTGTTTTAATTCACTGGCAAACTGATGTAACAAGACATGCGTAACTGTTAGATTCCCTGGGAAGTTTGACACATGAGATTAGCTGTATCTTCACTCTTGCTCTGTGCATGTATCATGTTGCCTTAATGTTTATAGTCAATTAATCATATGCTCAGTGTTGTTATTATCGTTACATGGGAAGAATCTGAACCATAATACTTTTTTTGTGTGCCTTGTCTTTATCTCTATATTTACTCTCAGATGTTATTGGGGATATTCTTTTGAAAATCTTGCAACTGAGAATTCCATTGATGAGGATGGAAGAGGTATTGATGCAAATGTAGAGTTCTGTGCTGTAATAAAAACGAAATTGGGTGCACATCGTATTATCATGGGTGCTGAGATGGACTGCTGTGACGCAACTGATGATGGTAGGCGGTTCTACGTGGAGTTGAAAACAAGCAGAGAGGTTAGCATTACTTTTTTTTTTTGTGATTTGCTTTAGTTTGGGTACCACATTTATTTGAAATACTCAGTTTTTGAGCCTCTGGCGTGTAACAGCTGGAGTACCATACAGTGGAAAAATTTGAGAAAGAGAAGTTGCTTCGATTCTGGGTAAAATTTTAGTCCTGCTGTATTTCTTATTCTCCATTCAATTCAATATCATTTGTAACTTACTGCTCTGTCCTGCAGTGTGAAAGTTTATTTTGTGTTGTGGTTCATTCTCTTAGAACTCTTTTTTAATCAATGTCTAACGCTGCTATTTGCTTTTGTTAAGCACTGATAAAAAACACTCAATTGCATTGTAAAGCAATAATGAGGGTAGGGATGCGTATCTGTTGGCCCATGGGTACCCTTTGGCTCAATGGTGGAGCCAGGGAATTCTTAGAGCCTGAGTGAATCTAACTATGTTAGATATTTGTTACCAAAAATCAATTTAATTCCTAGAGTAATATAAAAAGTTAGTGTACGTTTGAGTTTTGATGATGAGAGTGGGCTGCCGCCCGGCGCTGGCCGCTGGGTGGTGGCTCCGCCACTGCTTTGGGCCATTCAACCCAGCCATTGGTTGCACTTCAATTGCTAGTTCATATTAGGTACAAAATGTAAACCAAATGAATTAGTGTTTAGCTGATGGGTATCCATGGTCAAGTGGTCAACCAACTTGCATCTTTAACTGAGAGTAGATGATAAGGTAGCAATCTTGTTATGACTCTGTCTACCATGAGTCCATGATCCACTTAGCTGCCTTTTATTTTTTTCAGAAAGTATGCATATTTTAACTTCTAACATTAACTTTTTTTCTTTACTAAATATTGCAGATTCAATCATTTATTGCTGGTGTTCCATATGTTGTTGTTGGATTCAGGTAGTATTCATTCTTTATTGTTTTCCCTTACGCCATCCATTTTTTGTAGTCAATGTGATGAGCTTTCTATCACCTGACAGCTGGCATTTTTGCAATGGAAAATGATTTTCGTGATAAAATGTTTGCTGATACAATTTACATGTTAAAGAAGCTGTGCAATGTTAGTATTGGGCCTTCTGCTTGGCTAGGAGATTGACATGCTGGTTATCACAAATCAGTATGCCACTATGGTTGTCCTCTACAAGGAACAAGAGTAATTTCATTTACACCTGGTGTCATCAACTGTGTACGAAGCAAGCTCATATTTGTGATAGTCAGTCGTTTCTCATGGATGTCCTGTTGCAATAAATAATTGTGCTGCCTACCCAACTTTTGTGGGGCTAAAGGCTGCTGGTGCTATTACAATAAATATTTTATTATTTGGTACTAAGGTATATTTTTCCCGGTACGTGTATGCTCATTTTCGAGTTAATTTTGTCTAAATAATTACAACACGATTTCATCTTCGGGATACCAAATCTTTGTGTAGTAAACTAGAGGTTCATGGAGACATGGACTATTTCTGGTAATATACTGATATGTCTCCATTTATTGATTGTAATAGGCATAATAACTTAAACACATACTTGATTTTCTAGATTCTTCAGTTCAATTTGTTTGACTGCATCACATGTACTTGATAAAATCGTATGCTTATTTTTAATACAATGTTCTGATTTGGTGTGGTATTTTGCTCAATATTTAACCTACCCCATATGATGCAAAAGAAGGCTTTTACTTTTTTAACTTCGACTTTGTCCCAATTTTACATTGATTCCAGTGGCTTGTATTTGTAACTTGAACTAGTACCCCTCAGCATTTTCCTACTAATAAAGGAGTTTCAACCATATATTTTTTTTACCTGCAGGAATGATGCTGGTGTACTTATACGGACTGAGAGACTAAGAACCAAAGAAATAACACAAAAGGTGAAAGCGAAGAACTACTGGCAGGTAATCAAGCTTTCTTCCTAGCAATTTTAAAGGACACATGCCTAGATAGACAACTATAATTTAGACCTATCAGCAGGTTAAATACTGGAAATGTGAATCATCTGTAACTCTAGACTCCCAAAGGACGTGCTTCCTTTGCAACAATTTACCTGCTATGTAAAATATGTGAGATTAGATTGTCTAAATAAGTAGTTCTCAATTAATTTCCTGCCACTTCAAGCATAAAAGGGATAAGAATACAATGTACTTATCTTGAAAATAACAATAATATCTGATATCCGTATGTACTTCAGGGAGGTGTTTGCTTGGCCTTCGCTGATGAGGTCTTATGCTGGTTGTATGGCACTGTTAGAGAAAGTAAGTTCATTTATCATTCTGAATATCTAACTAGTTGCATTTTCTCAAATTTTTAAATCACGGACTTATTGGCACTCATAATCATATGATACTCTCTGTACGCCTGACATTGCTTTTTTCCATCTCTTACAGACGAGGACTACATCCTGCAATTTGTACATCCATTCAATCGCTTGGAACTTCTACGTGCCCAGTCTCCCTGTCCTGATGCCATCACTCATCATGTGGAGCAGCTCTCTGGTACAGCAGGCTAGGTTAATTCGTACACACAACTTCGGCAAGTAAAAGGGCTGTTTGAGGTAGATCCGTGTTGAAGGATTCTATTCTAGGGGTGCTGACTCTTAAACAAAACTTCGGCAATTATATAATGGTTGAGCTGACGACTTACCCAGCCAAGCAACATAGGCCGACGACTAAATGGTTTGCTCTTTGAACTGCCAAAGAGATTTTGAAATTGTCAAAACCTTGTGTTTCTCCAGTAACATTAAGTTATAAATTAGGGAAATGGAGAGCTATGCGGCAATGCTACTACTGGGTCATGCCACCGAGGCACCAATGATGTAACTCTCTACCAGATACCAGTACCAAGGGAAATGATATGAATTCTAGAGAGTTTCTGAACTAACATGTGGTATATAGCTTTATTTTGAAATGCTATAAATTGAGAATATTAAATCGTCAAGAAGTGAGAAACCCATCTGCACCCCAGCACTCCCTAGAGCAGAGCATGACATTTTTTGGGTTAGGGCCTGTTTGAGGAGTTTATGTCAGCTGAAGCTTTTTCCAGAAATATAAGTTCTCACAAACCAAACAGTCTAGCTTCTCATATAGATAAGGCCTTCTCATCTAGATAAGGTCGTGTTTAGTTGCAAATTTTATCTTCAAACTTTAAACTTTTCCATCACATCAAAACTTTCCTACACACACAAACTTCAAACTTTTCCGTCACATCATTCTAATTTCAACCAAACTTTCAATTTTGGTGTGAATTAAACACTTTCAATTTTGGTGTGAATTAAACACAGTCTTATGAGAAGATATGAGAAGTTAATAGTTAAAATGAACTTATAAGCTACTACAAGCAAGCTAGTTATTTTAGCTTCTTTACATTTTCAGAAGCTGCCTACTAGATGATGCAATTGACTTTTTATTAAACGTTTGACCATTCATTTTATTTAAAAAATTATGGAATTATAATTTATTTTTTTGTGAGTTGTTTTATCACTTAAAATATTTTAAGCATGATTTATATATTATATAATTTCCTAAAAATTTTGAATAAGGCGAATAATCAAACATGTGTTCAAAAGTCAACAACATTATCTATTTTATAGAGGGGGTACTTATCAGCTGCGTTCTATAATTTATCTATTAATGGGCTGTTTAGTTCCCAAAACAAAAACTTTTCATCCATCACATCGAATGTTTGGACACATGTATGGAGTATTAAATGTGGAAAAAAAAACCAATTACACAGTTTGCGTGTAAATTGCGAGACGAATCTTTTAAGCCTAATTGTGTCATGATTTGATAATGTGGTGCTATAGTAAACATTTGCTAATGATGGATTAATTAGGTTTAATAAATTCGTCTCGTAGTTTCCTAGCGGAATCTGTAATTTATTTTGTAATATTACTACGTTTAATACTTCAAATATATGTCCATATATCCGATGTGTCAACTAAACCTAAAAATTTTTTCTAACTAAACAAGGTCTAACCAGTCATTTTTCAGAATTTTAAGAATTTTAAGCTCTCCTAAAAAGGTTCTAAAAGCCTTGTATTCCAGTTGCGCGTCTGTCGCCTTGGCAGGGAGGCAAATCTAACGTTCGCTTCAGTTGGATTTTCCAAGAAGTATTTTGCCCTATTTTTGTGTTAAGGTGCCACGAATGCGAGATTTCCAAACGGGAAACATCTTGATTCCCACAAGATTGATAGAAAAGAAAAGTCACTGATCTACGCATCTTGATTCCCACAAGATTTAAAAGAAGAACAAGTCGTTGATCTACAGTATATATAGTACTGCAAATTTCACAATTTCACGGGAAATATTTCAGATCCCAAAAAAATGGGGAAACTCAGCCATCGATATACGCTCTTATTATGTTGTAAACAGGAGCATTGTGTTCAAACCGCTCGATAATTCAACCATGTTTTTTTTAAAAAAAATCTACTAATAATTTATTTAAAATTTACCAGTTTTCATGGATGACTTAAGGGTTATTGCGGTTATTGATAAAACCATGAATATGTTCATCGTAATCTTTAACTTGTTATAGTTTTGATTGAGGGGTTGTTAGAAGATTAATGGTTTGCATAGGATATATGGTTGTTTGGTTAGTGTCTAAGTTTACCACGATTAACCTTAGGCCAAACGTGGTACGGCGAAAAAATAATACACCCATGAAATAGTTGGTCATAAGTGTGACAATGTTTTGCCAAAACAAAATAAGTGAATAACTTGCGATGGGGGAGAAGCTAGGATTTGGAGATTAGGGGGACAACCACAAGGAATGTTCGTGTGGTTTATAATCCATTTTAGGCCCTCTTTGTTTAGGCTTAGGCTTATTGGGTTAGACTTTTAAGTCAGCTTGTTGGCTTATATGATTTATAAGCCAGTGAATTTAATGTCCTAAGTTTAGTGGTGGAGTCATACATCTATCTCATATAAGCCAAAAAAGCTTCTCCAACCTAGCTTTTGGCTTAATAGTGTAAGAGTGGCTTATGGTTTTAAAAAAGCCAAATGAAAAAGCTGCTTGTTTGTTTAGGCTTAGACTTTTTGACTTATAAGCCTAAACAAATAGGACCTTAATGCGATGCACTATTCATACTCTGCATTGATACCTCTAAAGCAGAGGATCTGAATTCAATGGTAATGGCTTCTGATGATCGCTATATATTGAAGGGTATTTAAACACACGGTTAGTGCGGTAATCTTACGGTATACCTAGCTGATTTCAACGGTAATGGCTTCTGATGATCGCTATAACTGTGCGGTTTTCACGATAACCGCCAAACCGTGGGTGACGATAACCACACCCTAGATCACATCAGATTTCTTACAGTTATAAATTCTACTACCTCCATTCCCAAATATACCAGATTTTAGTTAGATGTAATATATTATAATACAACGAATCTGGAGAGAAGCATCCAACCAAAATCTCTTATCTGTGCGTTTAGTTCACACTAAAATTAGAAGTTTGGTTGAAATTAAAACGATGTGACAGAAAAGTTGAAAGTTTGTGTGTATGAAAGTTTTGATGTGATGTAAAAGTTGGAACTTTGAAGAAAAAGTTTGTAACTAAACACGGACATATATATATATATATATATATATATATATATATATATATATATATATATATATATATATATATATAGGGACAGTACTAAATTATATCGGGAACCCTTGTCGCAAATTGCAGTGCTAGCTGCACTAGGAGTACAAATCCCTAGTACAGCGTAGTACTCCAGTCGCCGGCTCGCCGCACACCATCGCCCATCAGACCCTGCCGCCGCGGTCTCTTCTCGAGGCCTCCCGTTCCCTCTTCCCGGCGAGCTAGCGCACCGCGCGGGAGAGAAAGGAGAGCAAAAAGGATGGGCGGCGGCGAGTGCAGGAGCAACGACTACGGCGCCGCCGCCTACTGGGACGCCCGCTACTCCTCCCCTTCCCCCTCCTCCACCGCCACCACCGGCGGCGGCGGCGGCGCGTTCTTCGACTGGTACCAGGCGTACCCGGCGCTGCGGCCGCTGCTCCGCGCCCGCCTCCCCGCCTCCTCCCGGGTCCTCATGCTCGGGTGCGGCAACTCCCGTACGCCTCTACTACCTCTTTTACCTGCGTGCCTTCACTCACACTAGCTTGAAACTATCTGCGTACTCAAATTCAACGATTTCGGCGCTAATTCGTCGCGCGCGCCACATATTTCTGGGAATGCACTGGAGTAGTAGATTACCCTGTTGCATTGTTATACTAATTATACGGTCACACCTATCCGTTGCATGATGCAGTTTGATCTTATTTTGGCAGTTTTGTCGGAGGACATGGTGAAGGATGGGTACGAGGAGGTAGTAAACGTGGACATTTCATCCGTAGTCATTGAGCAGATGAGGGAGAAACACGTTGATATTCCACAGCTTACATGTAGTGTTTTCATTGATAATTTCAAACTCATAGTTTGTGAATTATGGTTTCTATGCAAGGTCTATTTACTTGGTGTCTTGTGTTTTAAGATTTCCAGATGGATGTTAGGGACATGAGTTTGTTTGGTGATGGAACATTCGATTGTGTCCTTGATAAAGGTACCTTAAGAATTTTATTTACCGAAGCTTGCTAATGCTCTTGTGGAATACTTTTTTATGGAATTTACTGAATAAATTCATTTATGGTATTTGTTTATTTTTCACCACTACACTTACCTTGTTATGACGGAATTATGGAAATTTCTGAAGGTACATTGGACGCTATGATGGTAAGCTTTACTTGTTGCACAAACAACATTTTAGCTTTCTGATCAGGCATGAAATGAAAAATCATCTGACCATTATTGTTGTTGCATTTGATCTTACTATTTTAGTGTGGCGATGATGCTCCTCTTGGTGCTTCCAAAATGCTAGCAGAAGTGGCAAGGTGTCTGGCATGAAAGTTTATCCTTTTCACTCTTTTCAAACTAGTTGGTTCCCAATGATTCAGTATGTTTCATGTTGAACTATTTTTCCCCTTGCAGGATTCTTAGGCCTGGTGGGATCTACATGTTGGTACATCCTCTAAATCTAAACAATACAGTGTGTAATCATTTTGCGTGGGATGATCTTATGGAGCGATGATGTTCTTTTGCAGATAACATATGGTTGTCCTAAGGAACGAGTGCAACTTTTGTACCAATCTGGAAGCCACAAAAAAATTGAACTGTACATTATGCGTAAGTATTTTTCTTATGCTATTTCTTGATTCATGGAGCTGGACATAATTTGAAATTCCAGAAGGAAACACTGAATAATGGGGAGATTCAGGTTTGACTGATTCCAAAGGGAAACATTGGTTCCAAAGATTGGTTGATTCTAATGGGAAATCTTAAAACTTTGATTTGACGCTATGCTTTTAATTTCTCAGTTGGACCCTGATAAAATTTACTGTTATCATTTTGCAGCCACACCTGGATACCAGTTGAAATGGAGCAAAGGTGTTTCACTTGCACAACCTATCATGGAGGAAGTTTCATTGACAGTGGATGGTCAATTACCACCTGACTATGTTCTTAAAGATCCAGAGTCACATTTTATTTATATTTGCAAAAAGCCAGATGCCGCTAATGAAGCTAATTCTGTGGTTGCTAATGAAGGGGAAACCATAACTTCAAAATGATCTTTTGTATCCTTAATTTGCATTTTGTTTTGGGTTGCTGACGAGCCTTGGATAGTATGTGCTCATAATAAATTTTGTCAGATGTTACTGTTGGATGAAAATCACGACCCTCTTTAGCCGCCTGGGGCCCCAAAGGTTGCCAATCTGTGCTCGATATTTCTTCTCGGAACTTGGAAGATGTGACACAAAATTCATATGTATTTCAATATGCTTTGGAAGGGGCCAGCTGAGTTGTGTTAAGTTTGTTTAAAACGACTGAGTTCCTCTTTATATCGACACCCATAACATCAGAGTGATTTTGATGTGATCTTGTTATTCTGAGATGGATCATGGAACACTGCATGTCTGTATGCAGTGTATATGGAATGATATTATGGCTGTGTTTAGATTGGCCCAAAGTTTGCAATTTGGTTGAAATTGGAGACGATGTGACTGAAAAGTTGTGTGTGTATGAAAGGTTTGATGTGATGGAAACTTGGAAGTTTGGAAAAAAACTTTGAAACTAAACATACCCTATGCAAACTGAACTCCCTGGGCGATTAGACATTCCCGACTAATGCTCGGTTAATCCCCGATAGGAAGGAATCAGAAGGGATTGAGAATTTGAGATCCTTCTCAATACCTCTCAATTCTCCACTAGTTACGGAAAACGAGAGCTCATCATGGTATACATTTGAAGGGGAGCGAGTGCTTTCAAAAGTACTTTAAAGAGAATCGATTTTGAACTTAAATTTTGTTACAAGATGAAAGGAGCATAGTACTAGTATGTGAGATCCTGGTTTTTCTGAAGGAGGTCCAGTGCACGCATCCGGTATTTCCCTTTCCAAAAGGCCCAATGCTGTACCGTCGAACTCGAACGGTCGGGAAAAAAAAAAGAAACAGAAGAAGGCCGAAATAAATAAAGAGGATGAAAAGAAAAATAAAATAAAGGAAAAAAAAAAGCGCACACAAGGACCTCCCCTGTGCCAAGCGGCCGCGCATCGCAGCCGAGACGAGCCGCCCCCCGCACCGCACTCTCCGCCGCCGGCGCCGCGCCGACCTCCTCCGCCGCGCCGCCTCCCCGGCGCGCGCCCCCGTCACCCTCTCTCGCCTCGCCGCCGCCGCCGCTGCCTCCTCGTGAGGGGGGACGGTGGTGGGGGCCTCTGCCCTATGGCGAGCGGCGACGGCGGCGACGACGCGGGCGTGAAGCGCGTGGCGGACCGCTACCTGAAGCGCGAGGTCCTGGGAGAGGGAACCTACGGCGTCGTCTTCAAGGCCGTCGACACCAAGGTCCATCTCATCCCATCCCATCACCCCCCCCCCCCCCCCACTTCTCCCGCTCCTAAAACCCTCACCGGTGCACATCGTCGCGCGCGCCGGGGGGCGCGCTGATCTGCCGCCGCCTCGAGAAATTTAGTCGCCGGCCGGCTAGTTCGGGCCCTCCGGCTCGATCCGACCGCCCGGTGGAGAGGCGGGTGGTCGGGTGATTTGAGCTTCAAGGGTTTTGTTCCCGGATTGTGAAATTGCGTCAGTGAACGGATGGCTAGAGCTGTTCTTTCTGCAGGGGCAGTCTAGGTTGGCCACCCATGAGCCGTGGTTGAGCCCATGAATGCAATTCACCTGGTTTTGTTCACTGCCGTGTGGATTGAACTGGAGGTGTTGACACTGTGAGGGTGTTTGAGCTGTGGTTATTGTTTTGCCATCTCTTCTTAAGCAAATCGCAGTTTATCCACTCTGATGGGAGGGGATCTGTGGGATAGCAGGGTTTGTTGTGTCGTGGACTCATGTATCTTTGTATTATGATAGGCTATATGGTGCCAGCCTTTCACTCTACAGATTTTGGGTGTGCTCCTAGTGCTTTTAAGTTTTAAGTTTATTACATCAGCTGTTTGGAATGTATTGTCGTGGAATTTTGCTTCTTGCTTTTGTTAACTTTTATTGATATCATGAATGTTCTTCACTTTGTTTGAGTTAATGTTAGGGTTATTGAACTTTTACATGTTCCTTGTTTTCAGACTGGGAATACAGTCGCAATAAAGAAAATCCGGCTAGGGAAGTACAAGGAAGGTGTCAATTTCACTGCATTGAGGGAAATTAAACTTCTTAAGGAGCTGAAAGATTCTAATATTATAGAGCTGATTGATGCTTTCCCTTACAAGGGAAACTTACATCTTGTATTTGAGTTCATGGAGACTGATTTGGAAGCTGTCATACGAGATAGGAACATTGTATTATCTCCAGCTGATACAAAATCTTATATTCAGATGATGTTAAAAGGTTTAGCCTTCTGCCATAAGAAATGGGTGCTACACAGGTATCCACTAATAATCTTGCTAAATTTCTTTTAGAGAGAGTATCCTTTGACAATCTGTGCTGTAGGGATATGAAACCAAATAATTTACTCATTGGCGCTGATGGGCAGCTTAAGCTTGCTGACTTTGGTCTGGCGCGCATATTTGGGAGTCCAGAGCGGAACTTCACTCATCAGGTTCTTTTTTGTGGAATTATATTTATTAGAATTTAATTCTCTGTATAATCTAGTCGATTGTATACTTGGAACTTGAGAATCTTGTTGCTGAAACAAATATGCAATGAACATTTCTTCAAGTGTATTGATGTTTCTTTTGTATTTTTTTAACTCGGTCGATATTGCTGTTTGATGCTTCGTTGTTCTGTTTATCAAAAAGAACATCCTTGTGGATATTTTGCGCCCTTATGCTTTACCCTTTTTTCAACAACAGTAGGCACCTAGGAAGTAGAAAAGCTTAAATCTTTATGGATGGAACAAAATGCATGTGGGGAAGTTCTTATGTTATTTCCTGGACATTTGAGTTGGCAGAGTTGGATTTTGAATAAATGTCACAGGATACTGATTTCGGAAGTATGTGTCCTTGAATAACCATTTTCTTGGTAAATATTAATAGTGTTGGAATGACTGTTTCATTCTGAATTATTTGTGCTGATTTTCATTCACCATCATATCTGGAGGTTCTCTTAAACCATCTTTTTATCAGTTATGTTGACGATAGTCAAGGATCAATGCTACACTTATTACAGCAATGCTGTGTGCTTTGCTTAAATGAGTGTTTTTTATTTTTTATTAGTTTCACTTTGAATCATATTATCCTGATGCTGCTGGGCACTTCAGTTTTGAATTTTTTTTCTCAACATATAGGTCTTTGCACGATGGTACCGAGCACCAGAATTATTATTTGGCACCAAGCAGTATGGATCTGCAGTTGATATTTGGGCTGCTGGTTGTATTTTTGCTGAACTGCTGCTTAGGCGACCGTTTCTCCAGGTTTAACCGACTCTTATAATTTTATGCTCTGTGTAATTTCAATCTATTTATAACTAAGCACTTTTTATGCTCTGAGAATGTTGCATGGCTAAGTTTGCTGTTCCTATATGTTGTGATAACTGCATGCGTAAATGTGTTACCTCAAAATGTTGTTTCCAAAGCCAGATTGGACTTGTAGTTTTCAACTGAGGAAACTGGAAATGGTCAGGCTCTGGTGAGGTGATTGAACTGAACCTGTAAATGATTTAAACTTTGGGTTTAAATTTGACAAAGTGTTTCAATGGTAACAGTAAAAAAATTCCTCTGTGGATTTGAACCTTTGTCTGTAGATTCTGGAATAGAAGAAGCTAGTTCCTCTGTGCATGTAGTTGATATTAGATTTATTTAATGAGCACGTTATAATAGTCTAGCACTGGTAGGTTCACGCAAATTAAGCCTCGCTCTAGTTTTAGACTTCAATATAACAAAATTATGTATGTTATGTGGGGCTGCATGTGCAGCCGCCTGTGCATGACAGTTGCCATGCTCTTCACAACCAACACACCAACTATGTTGGCTCCTCCACAAGTTTAGTAGCTAGATCATTTCCACTGCTAGTTTGTTTGTTTCCGTAGGATTAAATTATTTAAGGGCTTGCCTGAGAATATGATGCAAGCTGAAAGTTGTCCCACGATCTCTCTCCTAACGCCATGGTGTTGGGCGACAAGGTGTCACGCCCTTGTCCTCTTGCCATCCATCAGCACAGGTATTATCTGACTGACTCCCAAGAATCCCCTGAACCATGTGACAATGTACACCTTCACAATAATGTTATTTAGAGAACCAGTTAGATCAGTGAACAGACGAGTCATAGTATTGGCTGGGTCGATGCCTGCAAACGACCAGTTTTCATGCTTGAGGTCATTGTTTACTATATGTGAAATCTGCCATTAGTTGTTTACGAGTAGTTTTGGGTAAGGAAGCTACCCCTAGAAATCTGTGCATGGGGAGAAAAGGGTTGGACTTTCTAGATTCACTAGGGTATTGTTTGTTTCTTTCCTTTTCTATGTTTTTTGGAAGGTAGATTTTGTGGCATGTGCTCTTAGGCCTTACTTTCAAGTGATAGATCTGATTATTCTCTTCAAAACTATTTTAGGTAGAAAAATGTTATTCCTTTCTCCAGTCTTATGGGATATAGGCACTTGTTACTAAGTTCACGGGTTTGTGCTTGATTTTAAGCTTATTGCCTGAGATTTGGTTACCCTGGCTACTTGTTCTGGCCATACATATTTTGGCCAAAGAAGGGTTTTCAGGTTATCACAACTATAATGTTCTGATTACTGGTGGGGTTCTTTTAGCATTGAAAATTAAAACTGCAATTCCTTGTTATTGTTTTACTTGAATTTTTTGAACATGGTGTTTTTTTTTTTGGATTAGACGCACGGAGAAAACATTAATGCACATGGGAGGCTAGATAACATGAATAAAATATGGACTTGTGGTCTTGTGCTAAATGTGCATAATTCTTTTTCACTCAACTGAAAGCCTTCTTAGGCCAGTTGTAGAGGTTTAATTTGTTGCTTCTGGTCTTGCTGCAGGTCCTCTTGAGTTTCCTGATTTTTTATCTTGTGTATTCTCCAGAAATGTGGAATCATGGAGTTGAATATTCTTGTGTTGATTTATTTTTTATTGGTTTTTTTTATTATAAATTTGTTTTCTTTATCTATACTTACAAGTCAAGTTCTTAGATGCAGTAGAGGTGTTAATTCCATTTTAAGGAATTTTAGATGCTCATCTAAATTTTTCATCATGTATGAAAGGCTTTTCATGTCACTATCCGTGGTTTTCTTTGTGAGAGGCAGCAATTGGTTGAAAATATTTTGATCTATATCTAACTATGGTTCTCTATTTGATTTTCAATAGACAAGTTGTTTGCTTTCTAGGATCAGATCTGTCTGCAGCTCTAAGTAAATGCTCTACTGTCACAACTTCTTCATTTCTTACAAATCAAGTGATTTGTAAACTTTGGGTTTATAACCTCTTAAGAGAGCATTGCTGCATATGTATTTTGTAAGCGTTGTTTCATCAGTATGCCTGATCTTTTTGCATGTGTGCTGATAAGAGAAGGTTGGAAAATGTGATATGATATTTAACAGTGGGCAGCAATTTTTTCATTTGGTAGCTATACCTTAAAAGCTTTAATGGGCACCCAAGTCACTAAATGTTAATGTTGCAGGGTTCTAGTGACATTGATCAACTTGGGAAGATCTTTGCTGCATTTGGAACTCCAAAGTCTTCTCAATGGCCGGACATGGTTTATCTTCCAGATTATGTTGAATACCAATTTGTCTCTGCACCTCCACTTCGCTCATTGTTTCCAATGGCCAGTGATGATGCATTGGATCTTCTATCAAGAATGTTTACATATGATCCAAAAGCAAGAATTACAGCTCAGCAGGCTCTAGAACACCGGTATGCCTTTGTTACTGATCAATAGAACATCTGCTATCTATCTCTGTTATTAGTACATGCCATATAAAACCATGTTTATCTTTCCTATTAAGGTACTTTTTATCAGTACCAGCGCCAACAAAACCATCACAGCTTCCAAGGCCACCACCTAAGGGTGATTCAGGGAATAACAAGATACCAGACTTGAACCTGCAGGACGGCCCTGTTGTTCTGTCCCCGCCAAGAAAGTTGCGCAGGGTGACTGCCCATGAAGGGATGGAAGTCCATATGCATCGGGCGGATAGAACAGAAGAGCATCCTTCAGGGGCAAGGCACATGGATGACATGTCCAGCCAGAGTTCTAGAATACCAATGTCAGTTGATGTTGGAGCTATTTTTGGGACACGACCTGCTCCTAGACCAACGTTAAACAGGTAAACGACACAAACCTTGACGAATGGAAATTTGGAACTCATGTCCTTGTCTAAATGACCAATGAACCTAATAATGGAATAAATGATGCATTTAGGATTGGGTGTGCTCAGCTCGCCCATTCTGTGGAATAATTGAACATATTTATTTCCATTTTGCAGTGCCGACAAGTCTCGTTTAAAACGGAAACTTGATATGGATCCAGAATTTGGATACACAGAGTAAATCACCATTTTTTCCATACTGGCTTGTTGATTTTTAAAATATTCTTTGGGGAGATAGTTCCACTATCTACCAACAAAAGAGGATTGTGTCGAAAGCCATAAAAACTTCACTGAAGGGCGCTGACAGGATGGCACAGCCAACTATGCTGTTATCGTTTTTGACTACCAAAGCCGGCTCAGGAAGAGGAAACTGAAGAGTTACGTGTTACGATGCTAATTTACACCAGGACGTGCACATGCCATTTCATTTTGGCTGGCATACATAAATCTGTAATCTTTATTGCATAGATGAGTTTGCTTGTGTGAGCATGTTTCTTCCAGTGTTCGCAAAGATTATTATGAAGTTTATGTCTCAAGTTCTTTCTGGTGTCAATTTTCGTTCACTTCTTGTATGGACATTGAATTTTGATTGTTGTTTAGTCGGTCATCTTATTCTTAGGTACAGTAATTCTTGTAACCAGGAGCGGCTTATATTACCTGAGTATTCTGACACGTCTTCCTGCAATACGCTGTAACAATGCATGAGTGAAAAAAAAAAGAGAAAAATAAGAGCAACTTCTTTTGTTCTTACGATGAATTATTATGTGATTACGATATCTACGGCTTTCTAATGTGAACATTTTATTATCCTTTCTTTAGATGTCTTCTATACTGAAATTTCTGTGATTTATATTTGTGGAATGGGTAAATGGAATGAAAATGTTTCTTTCGGACTTCTGGCTTCAGGTTTGCAAATTAGCGCAAATTCTGTGAAGGCTCAGCATTTCTGCCGTGTAGTGAACCGGGTGTACAAGAATTGTTTCATTCTCTTTTTTTTTTCTTCGAAAAACAGTAAAGATGCTCATATACACGTGTGGTAGCTTCAATTTGCAATTGATTAAAAACATTACATGTTGGGTGTTCAACGCGAGGATCAAAATTCAAAATTCATTGAACCTTATAGAGTTGTTTTTAAATCTGAAATATATTAGCGTTAATCGGCTTGTTACCTCCCAACATCAACCATGTTTAGACAAGCATTAATGTTACTCGGGCGTCGGAAGTGATGGCACAAACAAAATAGAAATGACGGTCCATAGGACATGGGTTTCGAGGCATCTCATATGAAAAGTCCATACGCTAGAGGACAAGTTGCCATGTGAAATGGACACTTTTGCTAACTTTATAACTGCTGTAATAAATAATGTGTGCAGTATATGCATGTGAACTTGTGATAGTAAATGGACCTGACTAAATGGCGTGACATGTGGCTTGTACTTGAATCCATATTACTTTATTTATCTATTATATAGAATGTGGCATGTACTCGAATCCATATAATATCGTACAATATTGGTTATTTATGGTATTCCATGCGTATACTATGTTAAATTACTGTAATAAAAATATTTTCTAATTTTACAAGTTGTTATTTATTAATAGTAGTTAGAGAAAATACCAACTTTTCTATTTTTGTATAAGCATGAAAAATAGTCTAACCATACCCTAACTACTATATCTATCTCAAAATAAGTTCATTTTTCATTCATTTTACACAAACCAATAAAAAAAAGACTATAATACCCTTCGCTTTTATCAAATCTCAATGCAACTATATCTTACTTTATCTACTATCATTTTTTTTCTTCTTTATCTACTATCATTTTTTTTGCTTTTACAAACTCGGATACAATGATTACTCAACAATAAACTTATTTTGGAATAAATGGGAGGAGCTAAAAGTAACTTATTTCAGAGACCTGGGAAGTAAGATTTTATGTCCAGTTCACTCTAAGGCGTAACCGTAAGAGTTGTCTTAATCCTCCATATATAATCATCTACTCCCTTGGTTGAAAGAAAATAAGTGAATTCTTTACATCTCGAGGAAATTTTAGTGGTGAGGAGAAAAGACCAAAGTAACCATTATATATGGAAAAGTATAATCGGTAGGTGGTGGGTAGGTAATATTAAGGGATAAAATTTCTTAACTTTTGGACTATAGTATGTATGAAGGTGAAAATTAATTTATTTTTAGACAAAATTTAAACTGTAGAAACCAAATTATTTTTGACGGGAGGCAGTATTATAATTTTTATGAGTTAACAATAAATTTATTGAGGAGATAGAGGTTAATTTTAAGTCTCATGAAGAAAAAACAACTCTAGGTAAAAAAAAAAGAGGAGAGAGGGACATGATGATGATGATTGAAGAAAATTTTATTTTAGATCCACAAGTACTCCTAGGAAATAGAAACAAAGCATTGATAAAGTACTACCCTTCTCATTTCATATTATTATTAGTTGCTTTTCCTTTTTCTCAGTGAAACTTCTTTAGATCTTAATCAAGTTTATAGAAAAAAAAATAGCGACATTTACAATATCAAAATAGTTTCATTAAATATTACATTGAATATATTATTGATAATGTGTTTGTTTTATGGTGAAATTGCTATTTCTTTTATATACCTAGTCAAATTTTAAATGGTTTGATTAAAAAAAAATCAAAGTACCTTATAATATGAAAAGGGGTTCCCCTAGTGCACATGTAATTTTATCCATACTTAAAACATATTGTTTTAAACATATTTTTTTCAATCAAATTAGATACTCAAACTTAAACTGTATCATTTTATATATTAAGATTGAATGTGCTCATCTTTACCCAAAGTAACCTCGTACTCTTATAATATTTCTGGGTTTTATAACTATACTACTGGCATCGGTGTGCATTAGGTAGGTGTCATCAAGATGAGATGAGATGGACAATATGACTTAATTGACATGAAGAGAATTTATGTTCAAATCATAATTGACATGAGGAGAAGTAATACAAAATGTAAATATTACTATGAGATATTTGGGTAAGAATCGAACAACAAACCTCATCCATATGATCAGATAACTGCATGTATACAACAGTCAGTATTAGGTGCATTAACACTATTACTCCCTCAATTCCAACAGTCACTATGTTTATTATTATTATAACACATCTCTCTCGACTAAATTATTGTTATTATTTTAAATCTTTCATGCTCAAGATCTCTGATTCTATTGGGTATATGCATTATATTTTTTGATTGATCCACATAAGAAGAAAGTGATAATAATTGTTTCGAAAGTGATAATAATTGTTTCGATCTTTATGGATTAAGGGTGTACCTTATAATTTGTAACAGATGGAGTATGATATGATAGTTAGTTCTCTCCCCGTCCTTATATTTTTTTATATGGTCTTTAGTGGCATACAGGGTGGATCTAGCATGAGGGCGACGGGGTCTCGAGCCTCCACTACTGACGTGAGAACTATAGAAGCCCCCACGAATCCTCCACTAAAATTTTTTACTATAAATAGATGGGGAGAGGGCTATAGCTTCGTTTAGTTTATTCAGTCCCTCATGTTATTTCTTTATCCATCACGTGTGGTCTACTTTGACCATTAATATATTTCATATTATGTGCCCAATGGATATGTAATTAGCATAACTCGAAAGTACTTCAAAATATAAAACGAGTGTTATAACGTGCATAATATTTAGTATAATTTGGTTAGTATGATTATTAGTCAAAAGGTACCAAGTTTAATTTTCCTTAAAACGATAATTTGGGACGGAGGGAGTATCATTATACTCTTTATATTATATAAATATAAATAAATAACATCACTATTGCTTTCTAAATAAGCTACGATGAGAGCATAAAAACGCTTTCGACAGTATCAATTCCTACCAAAAATGAACCGCAAAAAAATTCCATAAAAAAGAGAGCCATTCCTTATCGGAATCAGAACCCCCACTACAGGATTCGCGCTCCGCACGGGCGGGCAGCAGCAGGCAGGCTCGCTCGAGACCGATCGACACGATAACGACACACGGCCACAGTGCACCACCGCCCGGCCGCACCCGATCCCTCCCCTCCTCGGACTCCGCCCCCGGCCCCGGCCCCGGCCGCCGTCTCTCGGGCTTTACTCTCTCCCGTGCCGTCCACCCAGGGCCCCACCCCGCCCCCTGACCCCACCCACCACCCGGGCCCACTCGTCATTGCCCCCACCACTTCGTCATAAACCCTCCACTGCTATAACTGCGACTGCGACGCACTCGTCATATTCTCATATACTAGTAGTATCAACTACCCACCCCCCACCTCCTACGCCTCCGCCGTTGCAGCTAAACCCCTCTCCCTACTCCTCATCCTTCCCATCCGCATGGATCGCGCCGCGCGCCTCGCCCGCCGCGGCGGCGGCGTGACCGTGGCTGAATACCGCATGGTGCGGGGCCGCCGCCGCGGAGGCGACGCGGGGCCGGTGGTGGTCATCGATGTCGAAGACGACGGGGAGGACGCTGCTGATGACTCCGCCGGCGGTGGGGGTGGAGCGGCGGCGGCGGTGAAGAGGAGGGTGGTGGTTCCGGGGGCCGTGGCGACGCGGACGCGATCGCGGAGGATGGCGATGGCGCAGCAGGCGCCCGTCACGCCGCCGGCTGCGGCGGAGGAGGCGCCGAGCAGGAGGAGGAAGAGGAAGGGGGCGGCGAGTGCGGAGGCGGGTGGCGGAGGGCCGTCGAAGCGCCGCGTGCGATCCTCGGGGTCAGCGGGCGGGCGTGGTGCGCGCAAGCGCAAGGAGGCGGAGGCGGATGAGGAGGAAGCGGAAGCAGAGGCTGAGGAGGAAGCGGAAGCAGAGGCGGGGACTCCCGCTCGCGGAGAATCGATGGAGGTGTCACAGGTTGACGGGGGTGGCAGCAGCGGGCGAGCCGATGACGCTTCGCACAATGGTAATGGCGAGTCTCGCGTGTGTAACGCGGATGGCATTGATCAGGCAAGCGAGGAGCGTCCAAGTGTCGCTGGTGGGGATCTAATTGAGGAGGAGCACTACGGGAATGGGGAAGCCAGCGTCGCTGGTGGGGATCGAATTGAGGAGCACTGCGGTAATGTGGAAGCCAGTGTCGCCAATTCGAATCGTGATGGCGGTGAGATCATCGCTGGGGAGGGCACAGAGGATCGTGGGAACACGGAGTTATCAGTGGTGGATCCAGTGAATGAAGAGTTGGCTTCCGATGAGGATGATTACGACGATGAAATGTTGGAGGAAAAGCTTGTCGGAGATGTCATTCGTGCTTACAGCAATGGCGCTGATTTGGATACAAATGGAGTGGACTGGGAAGCCGAGGATGAGATGGAATTTGCTGATTTGGATACAAATGTAGTGGACTGGGAAGCTGAGGATGAGATGGAATTTGATGATGATAATGATAATGATGCTGATGACGACGGTGATAATTTTGGGGGTGATGCGGATGAAGGTGACAAATCTGTACAAATGCATGACTTTTCTAAGGTGGAAACACAAGATTTGGTGAGCCACAATGTTAATGTTAGTGAAGTGAGGCCTCATGAGGATGAGGAGGCTATCAAGGATGAGATGGAGTCAAAGGGAAAAGGATCTCTCAGTTTTAATGAAGGGAGCTCCTATATTGAAATTCTTGACTCTGACGAGGAAGTCAAAGTGGTCAATGACACAGGGAATGCCTTGAGAAGGAAGCCATTAGTACCAGCGAAGCTACCGATTGTGCCATCTTGTGTTGCATGGAGAACTCGGTCATCATGGGGTATGAAGGAGGAGAGGATTTCTTACAATACATATTTCGAGGTATTGTCTGATGAGCCAAAAGAGGATGATGATGACACTGAAGTGGAATTGGATGATGAGGAGGACGATGAAAACGATGACGATTGCAATAGTGCTAGCTGTGATGAAGAAGATGAAGAGGAAGAAGAGGAAAGAGAGGAGGAAGAGGAAGAAGCTCAAAGGAGAAAGCAAAAGAAAGGGATTGACTCATCTGATGATGAGATGATTGATGATGCTGTAGATTGTGGCATTGATTGGGAGGAGGATTACCCAGAGGTTGATTTTACTCGGCCACTTACCTTTCAGAAAGATGGCAGTGAGGCCCCTGTGGGCAGCGAGGCTTTTACGGAGCAACAGAAGAGATCGCGATTTACATGGGAGCTTGAGAGGAGGAAAAAACTGAAGCTTGGCATGATGACGAATCATCGTTTGTATGAACGAGACCTGGAATCAGATTCCAACTCATCAGATTCTAGTCAGAATCGAAAAAATGGATGTCAAGGGAGTGGTGATCACAGAACTGGGAGGAAAAGGAAGAATCCATTATCAAAATCTGGTAAGAAATCCAGCCGCATGTTAAAGAGGCAGTCTCTTATGAAGCTTCTGATGGACAAGATGTGTAGCAATGATGATGGGAAGTCTACTCCTTTTGACCAGAAGCCCCAGATTGAGTATAGTTTCAAGGATTTGCATCCGTTGGTTTTTTCATTTGGGGACGATGATCCTAGTCCAACTGATAGGTCAGAGCAAGATGCTGCACTTGATATGCTATGGGCTGATTTAGACTTCACTTTAGAGTCAGAGAACATTGGGACTTATTATGATGATGAGGTACTTTTGCTGCATGAATTTATCTGACATTGCTGACGTCCTATTATTTTCCTTAATGGGGTTGATTTGATTATGGAACATGGCAACCCTATCTATATTACATGATTGTTGCACTTATCTTTGCAGAGAAAATAAGCTGGGTATAGACATAGGTTCTTGTTAATCATTCATCACCATTGCTGCCCAATTTGTTACATTCTATTTTACCACTATTTGTGGTACCAATATTTGGGAACAGCAGTCTTAACTTGGCGCAGCCAATTCTAAGTAGTGTATGTATGCGTATTTTGTGCCACTACCATATTGCACTCTTTAACAATGAACATATATTTATTTGTTTGGAGAATAAATATTCCTTTATGTTATCTCTGTATAACAGCAGAACACCTTTTGATGGTTGACAACAGGAGATTCTGGTCAATTTTAACTATATTATATTATGTAATTCTCCAAAATTTTCCAGTGTGACAAATTTGATGCTTTCATTTTTTTGGTGTCATCTAGTCAAGGCTACCATGTTGAAATGATTAGCTTCTGTTGTTTTGTAGGGCCAAGAGGACAGTCTGCTAGATCATGCACTTGCTCCTATTACACCTTGTTCTAGAGGGAAGCATGAATTTATTATTGATGAGCAAATAGGAATCAGATGCAAATACTGCTCCTTGGTAAATCTGGAAATCAGATTTATTTTACCATTGCTGGTGAGTTTAGTATCTCTCAAAACTTCTGGCTTGCTTCCCACAACATAAGTTGATCAATTCCATTATTTATCTTGTTCTTCCATTCCAGGCCTCCAATTTTGCAGAGAAACCTGCATGGCGAAACAGCTCTTGTTTGAAGACTGCGTTGATGTGTCCTGATCTTTATGAACAAACAGGGACTGGTGATGGACAATCTCAAGATTTCCATATAAATGGAACTGTGTGGGATCTCATTCCTGGCGTCATTACTGATATGTATCAGCATCAACGTGAGGCATTTGAGTTTATGTGGACAAATCTAGTGGGTGATATTAGGCTTAATGAAATAAAGCATGGGGCTAAGCCTGATGTTGTTGGAGGATGTGTGATCTGTCATGCCCCAGGGACAGGAAAGACTCGTTTGGCTATTGTGTTTATCCAGACATACATGAAGGTGTTCCCAGACTGCCGACCGGTGATTATTGCACCTCGTGGGATGCTGTTTGCTTGGGAACAAGAGTTCAAGAAATGGAATGTCAACGTTCCTTTTCATATAATGAACACTACTGATTACTCTGGGAAGGAAGACAGAGATATATGTAGATTAATAAAGAAAGAGCATCGGACTGAAAAGTTGACTAGGCTTGTAAAACTGTTTTCATGGAACAGGGGTCATGGTGTTCTTGGAATTAGTTATGGTCTATATATGAAACTAACATCTGAAAAGGTTGGCTGCACTGGAGAAAACAAAGTGAGAACTATTCTTCTTGAGAACCCTGGTTTGCTTGTTCTCGATGAAGGGCACACACCTAGGAATGAGCGCAGTGTTATTTGGAAGACACTAGGAAAAGTTAAAACCGAGAAGCGTATAATTCTATCTGGAACTCCTTTCCAAAATAATTTTCTTGAGCTTTACAATATTCTCTGTTTGGTGAGGCCTAGGTTTGGTGAAATGTTTTTGACTAAAACAAGAGTGGGTCGAAGGCACTGTGTCTCAAAGAAGCAACGGGATAAATTTTCTGATAAATATGAGAAAGGAGTTTGGGCTTCCTTAACTAGTAATGTAACTGATGATAATGCAGAAAAGGTAAGATCAATACTGAAACCATTTGTTCATATCCATAATGGGACTATTCTTCGAACTCTTCCGGGGCTCAGAGAGTGTGTGATAGTTCTGAAACCTCTACCGCTTCAAAAGAGTATCATTAGAAAGGTAGAAAATGTTGGATCTGGTAACAATTTTGAACATGAGTATGTTATTTCTTTAGCCTCCACACATCCTTCACTTGTAAACGCAATTAACATGACGGAAGAAGAAGCTTCCCTTATTGATAAACCTATGCTTGAAAGATTAAGGTCTAATCCTTATGAAGGAGTAAAAACAAGGTTTGTAATGGAAGTTGTTCGTTTGTGTGAAGCATTGAAAGAAAAGGTATTGATTTTTAGTCAATTTATTCAGCCATTAGAATTGATAAAGGAACATCTTCGTAAGATTTTCAAATGGAGAGAAGGAAAAGAGATTCTCCAAATGGATGGGAAGATCCTCCCGAGATATCGTCAAAATTCAATTGAGGTTTTCAATAATCCGGATAGTGACGCGAGGGTGTTACTTGCATCTACAAGAGCTTGTTGTGAAGGGATTAGCCTAACAGGGGCTTCTAGAGTTGTTCTTCTAGATGTTGTCTGGAATCCAGCTGTTGGAAGGCAAGCTATCAGCAGAGCATTTAGGATAGGACAGAAGAAATTTGTATATACATACAATTTAATAACTTATGGAACAGGTGAAGGTGACAAATATGATAGGCAAGCAGAAAAGGACCACTTGTCCAAGTTGGTCTTCTCTACAGAAGACGAGTTCAGTAATGTTAGGAACATGCTTTCAAAAGCTGAAATGGAGCACTGTTCTAAGTTGATATCCGAGGATAAGGTTCTGGAGGAAATGACTTCCCATGACCAGCTGAAAGGCATGTTTTTAAAGATTCATTATCCACCAACTGAGTCAAACATTGTTTTTACTTACAACCAGATTGCTCCTGAGTTAAGTTAATAATGACTGGCATCAGATGGATTCATTCTTTAAGGTGGTGCTCTCGAACTTTTGACTTCTTATTGTTGTGGCTAGTTCTAGAATGATCAGATATTGATGGAATGCGATGTGCATGTGTAATGCAGCTGACTAGCTAGCGTGAGGACAGTGAGACTGAATACAGCATAAATTTTCAGCTGTTTTTGTTGCAGATGATGATTCATTAATTATAAGGTGAACCCTTGTGTAATCGCACTGGAAGAACATACTATTGCTATGGCATCCGTGGTCCAGAGTTAAATAGTTCTAGTTGACTGTAAGTTTGTTCCACTGACTTCATCATGTTATAAAGTTGACTTGCATACAATTAGTAGTCAGGTGGCTGCTGATTTCCATTATTTTCTTTTAATGGACAGCTATGTGTTTCTGTAGGGCATGCACTGAGAAATTCCTGATGCAGCAGGCTGTGGTATCCCTATACTCTATCAAATAATGGATCTTGGGTTGCATTATGTCACGCATGATCAAATAGGACTAGTCAGTTCTTACATAATGGGTGCAAAGCATCAACCAATCTAGAATCGGCACAAGGTCGCCGGCTGAAAAATCTTCTTGTGTATAATAATGAATCTCCAGATGCGATGTATAATAATGCTATTGGTTCATTTCTGGTGGTCCAATATTTGTTGAACTAAACACAATCTTAATATGAATAAGCGGACTAGTTTCAGCTATGCTTCAGTTTTCGAATGGAATCGTTTCTGTTTCTGTTCTTGCCCATGCCATATGAGCATGGCAATTTCGCCTACATAGTTATGCATTGCATATGCGTTCTTGTTGAGAGGTAGGTTTATACAAGTGTTTGCAGTTTTTAATTTTAAATCTGTGCAATGAATATGTTCATTTAAGGATCAGTGCTATCCTGCCTTCCTATCTTCATTGCCAGGAGAGGAGTATATATTTTTGTTGCAACAGCAAATCTGAAGGGTCCAACCGGAGCCTGGAGGATACCAAGTGGTGTCAACCTATGGAACCTGTTACCTGTTTAGTACCTAGGGTGTGTTTAGTTACGCCAAAATTGAAAGTTTGGTTGAAATTGGAACGATGTGACGGAAAAGTTGGAAGTTTGTGTGTATAGAAAAATTTTTGATGTGATGGAAAAGTTGGAAATTTGAAGAAAAATTTTGTAACTAAACTCGGCCATAGTAAGCAAAATAATCACTATCCTATGAGAAAAATATCTGACTGTCAGAAAGTTGTAAAAGCAAGGTGCTAGATGGAAGATTCAAGATTCTCTTGTACTGTTTGTACTGCTCATCGTATGGCACCATCAGGTTGTAATACATCACATCACACTGTCAGATTATTACTACTATTTGTTTTATATATATCTACCATAACTTGTGATGTTATTACGTGCAGGATTAATTGGGACATGACAGGTTTTGTTGTTATCAGAGGCTCACCTGTGCAGTTTAGTTGATGAGGATGCTTCAAATGATATAAGGTTATCTTCAAAACCAAGGTAACTTATTTGGACAATTCATACGGAAATAAAACCACTAAAACTGGAATTATCGAAGGGCAATAACTGGAATTATCGAAGGGATAATTTCTTTGCTTTGTGTGCGTTGATTTGCTGTGTTCTGTCTGGAGTAGTCCCCTTTTTTTTTAACAAACTCATGCTTAATAGACTCTCAATTTGAAGTTTGTATGTTAAATTATAGTGGATTAAAATTTTATATTTCATCTAAAAAGAAAATAAAATGATTCATCAAATCGCAGATCCATATCAATGGATTTGTGGAGCTAGCAATACCTAGCTTCATAAAATCTTGGATCCGCAGTTGTGCCAAACAAACACTTGAGAAATCTTAAGATACTGAGGCTGTAAGACGGCCGTGATGACAGGGGAAGAACGTTAATAATCACAATCTGGATCAGCTGACCACTGTCTTGTGCAGTAGGGTAGAAATGATGGAAACAGCTGTGACATGACACCTCTAAACTTGCTTTGTTACCCGTAATTAGCAGTATTATTGATTTATAATCCTATAATTTCTTTTTAATCATCTGCAGAGATGTTCATCTTAGGGGCCGTTTGGAACAGTTCGGAGACAGTAATTTTACAGGAAACAGTTCAATTCTCGTAGGATTTATGAAAAAAAAAATCTGCATTTCAAAAGGACCTTAACTGGTCATTAGTGCCTTTTTCGAAATTTATCTCTCTCCACTCAGCAAACAATGATATTTTGAATGTTGTACTGTGTTTTGGCGAATAGACGCTCAATCTCACAGGATCCTAATGCAAACAGGACAATGACATATGCATTGTGTTTCAACAAACAATCTACAAAGTCCAAACTAGATATGCAGTAGCAAGGTTTTCTTTTTTATAAAAATGTGCAATGGTATTGAGAAAGCTATCGATGTTATTGGTGTGGTGGTGAAGTTGTGCATTAGTGTGGTGGTGAAGTCGCATGACTATACTTACAAAGGATCAAATCTTTGTGCTCATAGGTATTACGCATATGTAGGTGCAATTTTAATAGATTTTTAGTGATTATAGGGATCGGTTGCTAGTCTATGTTTCTTTAAGCATGTGAAGCACACTCATTGGCATATGAGTGCGCATCTTCCATTAAATTTTATATATTAAGAATATACAGACATGTACTCCCTCCAACTTAAATAACTTCATTTTTCACCATCTTATTTGTTTCAAAATATTTTTTTTCAAACAATTATTGCATTAGAGTTTGTAAAAATTGGGGACAAAAGCATTGAGGTTAGATAAAGTGGAGGTGGACATTTATAAAATGAGTATTTCTTTTTTTTTGTATTGGTAAGGTGTAGGATGGGTGAAAAATGAAGTTATTTTTGGGACCTTTTAAGCGGTGTGTGCATGTGTGTCTTCTATTTAATCAATATAAAAATATGTAATGGTTCTGTCTGCATTAGGATTATTTTATATATAGGGTAGCTGTTAACACATTGATCTAATGGTTAATGCTTGGAGGCAAGGTAGATTTTTTTAAAAGCTTATTTCTTTCATCGGGGTAACATCTGCATTCTGAAATCGACGAAGTAGGTGACGTTCAGTACGTAGGCCTTGTATGGTTTGGGAAAATTTTTGGGTTTGTAGTCACATTGGATATTCGGTACACATTTAAAATATTAAACGTAGTCTAATAATAAAACAAATTATAAATTCTGTCAGGATACAAGACGAATTTATTAAGCCTAATTAATCTGTTATTAGCAAATGTTTACTGTAGCGCAACATCAAATTTCTTGATTAAGGCTGTGTATGGTTCCCTTTAAACTTTCAACTTTTTCGTCACATCAAATGTTTAGACACATGCATGGAGCATTAAATGTGGACGAAAAAAAATCAATTGCACAGTTTGCATGTAAATTGTGAGACGAATCTTTTGAACCTAATTACACCATGATTTGACAATATGGTGCTATAGTAAACATTTGCTAATGACGGATTAATTAGGCTTAATAGATTCGTCTTGCAGTTTACAGGTAAAATTTATAATTTGTTTTGTTATTAGTCTACGTTGTCCGTATACGATAAAGAAAATTTGGACGGGGAACTATACACGCCCATTATCGTCAACTTGCGCTCCCATTGTCAGTCGAATCTTTGGGGTTGAAAAAAAAATGCCTGATGGTCCTAAACATTGTGGCAGGCTAGCAGGCGAACCTCGTCAATGCCAAGCCAAATAATAGATGTCACATCACTGCCTTATCATAAGGGCAGTAGTAGTGCAAGACACGTATAGCGTGTCTTCGGTCTTAGAAAAGTGAATGAAGCAAAGAAATTGGCAGGAAGGACACGCTCTCCACAGTGCCCGACCCAAAACCAAGAGAACTTTCATCCTAGTGGGTCCCACACAAAGTAGGTCACTCCCAATCTCTCCTGGCTTAGTGTGACCCAAATCCCTCTCTTGTTCTCCCTCCGGTTCCCCTTCCTGCGCCTGCCCCGAACCACAGTGCCTGACCCAAAACCAAGAGAACTTTCATTCTAGTGGGTCCCACACAAAGTAGGTCACTCCCAATCTCTCCTGGCTCAGTGTGACCCAAATCCCTCTCTTGTTCTCCCTCCGGTTCCCCTTCCTGCGCCTGCCCCGAACCACAGTGCCTGACCTAAAACCAAGAGAACTTTCATCCTAGTGGGTCCCACACAAAGTAGGTCACTCCCAATCTCTCCTGGCTCAATGTGACCCAAATCCCTCTCTTGTTCTCCCTCCGGTTCCCCTTCCTGCGCCTGCCCCGAATCACGGACGCCGCCGCTGCCTCTCACGTCTCGTGCGGCGACGAGCCTGCTTCGCCGTCGGCGCATACCTGCGGCGCAGATCCGGTCGGCGGCAGAGTGGCCGGAGATGAAGCTCGGCGGCAGATCCGGTCGGCTGCGGCGCGGGAAGGAGATGGAGCTCGGCGGCGGAGGTCCTCGAGCGGTGGCCCGTGGTCGTCCCTGCTTCGAGCGGCGGAGGGCGACGATGGCGCCTCGGATCCAGACCGACGCCGGCGCCCCCGCCCAGGATCCAGACTAACGATGGCGGCGAGCGGCGTAGCCCCTCCCTCCTCCTTCTCCCGCGGCGTGTGGCGAGGACAGAGTGGCGCAGGTAAGTGGAGTCGGCGGCGAGCGGTGGAGCCCCTCCCTCCTCCCTCTCTCTCTCTCGCGGCCGGTGGGGTTGCTGCTGCTACTGCAAGGCCGCGCCGCGCCGTTTCTCCCTCCTCCCATCCGCGACGATGCCGAGCGGGTTGCTGCTGCATGGCCACGACGCGCCGTTTCTCCTCTGCACGGCGCGTCCTCGTCCTCGCATCTCTCATCAGTGGGCCCCGCACTCGACTTTTTGAGCAAGGTTCTCGTTCCTTCGCTGGGAACCGAAGAAGCTAGTGGAGCTATGGGCCCCACCAACTTTTTTCACCACGTAGGACAAAGTAACGCTTCACATAGACAAAGTAACGCCCCCACTGTGAAGGGCCTAATAGATGTCACATCACTGCCTTATCAATGGATTTTACTCCCAATACTCTCTGGGTGTGTTTAGTTCGTGCCAAAATTGAAAGTTTGATTGAAATTGGAACGATTTGACGAAAAAGTTGAAAGTTTATGTGTGTAGGAAAGTTTTGATGTGATGGAAAAGTTGGAAGTTTAAATAAAAAAATTAGGAACTAAACCAGTCCCTAGTCTCTATAAAGTACTACCTCCTAAAATATAATAATCTAGAATCGAATAAAATATATCTAGCGCTAAGAATCCGAACAAATCATCTCTCTAGATTCGAAGTACTACTACCTTCGTCCTAAAATATAGCAACTTTTTGCTATGAATCTGAACACACAATTGTTGAGATTCATAGCTAAAAATGTTTACATTTGAGATGGAGGGAGTAACATATATCAAATCTTATCATAGATTCTTACTACCTCCGCCCCAAAATAAGCGCAGATTTGATATATGTGTCTAATGTTTGACCATCCGTCTTATTAAAAAAAATTAAAAAATTAGTCACATGAAGTACTAATCATAAAAAAATTTCAAATAAGACAAACGGTCAAATGTTGGACATGAACAGTGTAAAACTGTACTTATTTTTGGGACGGAGGGAGTATAATATAGTAATCTAATATCAGATTAGATATATTTAAAAGTATAAATCTGAACAGATCTTTTGTTCAGATTAGTATCACTAAAATATATCAAATCTGACCATAGAGTCTTATATTTTGGGATGAATATAGTACCTCTTTCATATATAGAGGGTGCCAACATTCGATTAAAAATCTATCCGGTATCGATCTCACCTACTCCATCCTTGAACCAGCTCACACCTTTGTTCTGTCGTTGTTTTACCGACACTCACAATGCAAAGTTTATATTCGAGAAGGTAATCGCTTGGAGTACTTCTAACAGCCTCTCTAAATTTGACTAGAACAGCCTCTCTAAATTTGACTATTTAAATATCTATTTAGCTAGTTTGTTAAAAATATTAAAGAGTGAAATTTGACTTTCACTCTAATATTCTTATTATTACACTTTCCAATATGATAGTGGGTTACACATATCAATCTTTATATTCTTCGTCTTCCTTCCTTCCTCTAGATATTTTCCCCCTCACCATTTTTTCTCTCCACCCATTTCTTTCCATGCCGCTTGGTGGTAGGTGGTGGACAAGGCTAGCACAAGATGCACAGGAGGTGACGGCATGGACGAGGCGAGCATAGAGGCTGTGCGGGAGGGCAGGGAAAGGGAGGGAAGGGCAGAGACACCTCCGTCAGGGAAGCCATATCCACACAGGGGGGCTAGCAGGGTGATGAGCTCTCCGACCGCTGATGCCACCGCCTATGCCTTCTTCGCTAGATTCGGTATCGAGCTCACCTTCCCTCCCTACCTCATGCAGATCGACATAGAGGACGAGCTTGACAGTGCTGGAGAGGGGACGATGAAGGGAGAATTTGTTGGCGGTGACACATGAGGATGATGGAAGAGGTGTGGATCTTGACGATTGTGACATGACAGTAGAGGGGTTTGACTCTGTGACATGCAAGCTTTGATGGCGGCCTCACCATTATAATTGTCGAGCTGCTCCTCGTCGTTGCCATTGTACACCACCGCTTAAGGTCGTATCCTATGGGATCTACAGGCAATGGCCCCTCCATTCGGTTCCAGCGGGTGGCAGCGGCGGAAGGGAGGCAAGGAGGGTTGATCGTGTAAGCCCACGGATGGCCAACGATTTTGGCTGGCCAAATTTTAGTAGTGCGGAGAGGATAATTTGGCCAGCCATTTGAGAAGACTATTGGAGGGCCATTTTTTCTCAAACTTACCAAATTTTGACTTGAGAAGCCATCTAACAAGGTTATTAAAGATGCTCTTAGACCTTCCTCTAACTCAACCCGGGTTTGACAATGTCATTGTAACTAGGACAAAAGACATTAAAAGTGATTTACTTTCATATAAATGCTACACACTCTGTATAAAATAATATAACAATGTAATACTGAATTAGACACATCCTAGTACTAACATGTACTCCTATCTAATTCAGTGCTATGTGCTTGTAGATAGATTGATCAGTCCGGTTCTTTGTCCTCGGATCGTGTTATGCCCTTGGACAACATCTATGATCAAATATAGTGGGGTTTCAGAGGTGTTACCGTTGACGCCGGTGGGGTTATTCGTTGAGCCCCGCGGTTTTCTCCAGATCAAGTGGCAGCGACAAGCCCCATGGGCCATGGCGGCTTGATCTCTAGATCCATAGTGACATCCTAGTTCTTGACTTTGGGCTTTCTTCGATGGTGGTGGCCGTACACTAGTCTGTCAATGCTCAAGCAGACGACAAGGGGACCTTGGGCCTGCAACCCTCCCCGTAACACCAACTGTTATTAAATTTATTTCTCTTTAAGAATGGTTTGGTAAATCAGTTTTGTTTGTTGTTAATAACTGATACTATCATTTTACTCCTAACTCGATTGTTAGAAAAAACATACTAAAGATCATATAGTAATTCTCGTAGTAAAACGTGGGAAGCACACTTAGGAGAAATCGAGCTGTGTTTGGTTGGAGGGAGTGGAAACGTGTTTGTGGGTCGTGTGTCCTTGATGTACCCGCAACAATGAGCGCTCACACATTTTCATGCTCTCCTCCGTACAATATAAATAAAATACAAGCATGGTTGATGACGAAAGATTTTCTATGAAAACGTTCACATCGTGCTAGATTTTGAATGTGCTTGTTTGGCTTTATCATTTGAAACATATTATTTATTCGATTATTGTCATGAATTATCTACTTACTATTAAAGAGAGCAATCTAACATCTTAAAAACGGTTTAGCTTAAATTATGGCGACACATGTTACACTATGAATTTTTTAGCAACTTGATCCTCTCTGCAATTCGTGTAGGAGCAGCGTTAAACTGGCTAGCTAACTAAAGCTACTCAAAAAGACTCAATTCTTGGGTTCCAGTGTCCAACGTTTGACTGTCCGTCTTATATGAAATTTTTTTATGATTAGTATTTTTCATTATTGTTAGATAATAAAACATGAATAATACTTTATGCATGACTTATCTTTTTAAATTTTTTTATAATTTTTTAAATAAGATAGACGGTCAATTGTTAGACACGGAAACCCACAAATTGAGTTTTTTTTTGGGACGGGGGGAGTAGCTAGGTAGGCAGTTATTTATATATTTATATAATTTTACACGGTAGTTACAACACACTTACACATCAGTTACGTATGTAAACTCGACTTACACATCACTTACATATGTAATTAGTATGTAATTTTGGGATTTACATATGTAATTTTAGGACTTACATATGTAATTTTGGGAGTTACATTGTAAATATAATAAAATTACATATGTAATTTTGGGACTTACAATGGAAATATATGCCAACTATTTTTTGGTGAAAAATATAGCGCCATAAATATAGCTACTCCCTCTTAAAAAAATAAGCTTAGGAAATAGCTTAAAATAAGTGGTTTAAACAATAGTATAATAGAAGAAAGTTTTCTTAAAAAAAGTTTTTTAAAAGCACAGAACAAATAATATGTGGCAATAATCTTTAAATAAGCTGAAAAGAACGGGTAACACAAACTTTAGATGTGCAACAAATTTTTTCAAGTATCTGTCTGGTTTACTGCAACTACGGTGGTTAGCCATACGTTTTAGTCATGTGACATTATGGATTAGAGATTTTCTTTTTTTACTTTGTTTAAGGTGTGCCTACTTTTTCTATCAATAACCAAAATAAATATAGTCTTTATCATGTCTTTTTCATTCTTTATCACATTCTCCTTCCTACTAGTAGTATCTTCCAATGGTTATTGCTAACTTCTAATTCTCTCATGAAGCCATCATAGAGCCCCAAAGACAAGCTAGCTGCCTTGAAAAAAAATTGACTTGCACATCATGTTTAATATTTCGTCTTGAAAATTTCTTAGGTTAGCACGGAAGCAACTGCAACTAGGGGCTTGTTTAGTTGTGGAAAATTTTTAGATTTGGTTGTCACATCGGATATACGGACATACATTTGAAGTATTAAACGTAGTCTAATAACAAAATAAATTACAGATTCCGCCAGAAAACTGCGAAACGAATTTATTAAGCCTAATTAATCCGTCATTAGCAAATATTTACTGTAGCACCACATTGTCAAATTATGGCGCAATTAGGCTTAAAAGATTCATCTCGCAATTTACCCGCAATCTATGTAATTGGTTTTTTTCCTACATTTAATACTCCATTCATATGTCCAAATATTTAATGTGATAGAGTGAAAATTTTCGTTTTAGGAACTAAACAGGGCCTAGTTGCATGGATGTTGTTATGTTGCATAGATGGTACGGAGTTAGCAGTAATCTTCAGCAAAAATGTTTCGGAGAAAAAGCCAGAGGCCAGTTCGAATTTGCAGTTCGGCTCGGAAACATGATGGATTATTAGCACATAATTAATTTTGTATTAACTATTATAAATTATATATATATATATATATATATATATTTAAAATAACTCTACATAGAAAGTTGTTATACAAAACGCACTGCTTACCGGTTCCAGAAATGTGCTAACCTAAAACGAGTTTAAGAAAGAAATTGCTGTTTTGAATTATTGGAAAGAGGTAGACACGTATCCTTGCAATTATTGTTGATGGATCTTATTTCATAGTAGGTTTGTTATTGATGGATCTTATTTCATGATAGGTTTGTTTATTTTGATGGTTTATTATTGATGGATCTTATTACATAATACTCCATCTATTCCTAAATATAACGGATTTTGGTGGGATGTGACACATCTTAATATAATGAATCTGGACATGCTTCAGTCTAGATTCGTTGTATTAGGATATGTCACCTCCCACCAAAATTCTTTATATTTAGGGACGGAGATAGTAGGTTTGTTTATTTTGATACGGATGAAGTAATACACACCTTGCCTAGTATCCCATTTCGCTCAAGATTCCTTTATTTTCATGACAACAACAGTGTGCCCACGTTTTGGTATGGACTGCAAACAAATAAAAATGGATTTTTTTTTACACATAGAATATACAAAGAACAAATATTCTCAATTGTAAAAATTGAACAGAAAGATTACATGGAATCAATCAATTGCTACTTATTCCCACGTGCATCATTTCTTTTCTTTTACAAAAAATCCTTCAATTACCACTCATGTCCAACAAGTGTTTGCCACAAATACCACCACTCCTGCAACTGCAAGAAGTGTAAACACCATCTTTCATTTTTTTTTTGGTGCACATACAATGCCTTCGGCTGCTGAGTTCTGGCAGAACTCTAGTACTCTACACTAGACATCTGACATTACAAGATAAATTTATTGCAACTGATTCATTTCCAGCAAAGAAAGAAGGAATATGAACAGAACTGATATGTTTACACGCTACATACTATACGTAGTCACTACAACTAATTCGATCTGTGGAACACCTATTTCATTTCAATAGCTGTAGACATTCAGGGGTAAAAGAAGAAACAAACGAATTTATTCAGAAACATTCCCTGACGCTATTAAAAAGACCCCACATGTATGACGTGATGTTTTGCTTTTCTGTATCTGTTCCTTATTCCTGAGACTTATTCTTTGGTACAGGATCTCAAAATACCGCAATACCACATGGATTACATTTTCTTTACGAAGGGATAATGATAAAAGTTATGCACTCTTGATTCTCTTCTGAGAAACAAAGAGATATCGCCGCAGGGCAAGCAGTGAAATCCAAGTAAATCTTGAAATCTTCTCCTTTATCATCAGCAGCAATGCAGAACTCAGGACAGTCTTGAGTATCTGAGCATGTAATCCTTTGAAGAAGCCTGGGATGCCTTCCTTGCTCCACATGGCATGCAAAGCGCCCAACATTGTTTTGGGAGATTTTGATTTTCCTGGCCTTTCAGATTCATCGTCATCATCCTCATCAGGGTCTGCAGCCTGAATCATGACCTTGCACCTGTTTGATAATGATGTCATATAATTTATATGGTGATAATAATTTATATGTAGCATTGGCAAGCAAAATCAGGTGGAAAGGTCCAGATGTACATCTTCTGAGAAAAAAGAAGGTTCACCTGATTAGTGGGTAGGTTAATATTGTAGCAACACTTTTTGAGATGGCACCAAGGAGAAATGCTGAGAAAGCAGAAAGAGCAACTGGTGAAGAACCACCCCCTGCTTCTGCATTTTTACGTCTCTGTCTCTGAATTAGCTTCTGCTTGAGCTGATCAAATACAGTATACTGCAACAGACAGGTAATGGCAACCATAAAATAATTGTCAATTGGTGCGTGCAAAGAATAAAAGTGAAGCTAATAAGTCCGAAATCCAGTTCTAGGTGTTTCTTAGAGCTTATTTGTTACAAATTCCACACAGACATCAGCCATGTCATTGAAGTGATCTTATATTAGAAATGTTTTTTTTATAACACGTTATCTTGTCTGCAATTTTTAGGCAGATAATATATACATGATACTTGAACTAAATGAAGTTTCTTCAATTACAGAACTAGAATAACATTTACAACTGAATCAGATAGGAAGAAAGTTTAGTGCAGGCCCACACATCATTTTTGTAGTAGTAGTTAGCTATACTCAATTCTACTAGTAAACAAACTTGAAGCAGCTCACACATGAAGTTCTGCAGTTCCTCCATTGTTGAGCTCAGGATATTCTTAATTATTAAGTCAAAAGGCACGAGAGTTGCATTTCATTTATATGCAAATACAGTATAGTTCACAACCAGTCAACAGTACAATAGTTTTGCCCCTTCCTGTGTTTTTCAAACAAATGAATTTGTGACTTTCACTAAAGCTTGCAGATAAATGACTGTATAACTGCCATTTTTAAAAGCATCTCAGTACATATGTTTCTATACATACAAAAAAAAGAGAGAATTTGAACAATGCAGAACCTTTGTACCTGAATAGAAGGATTACACGTTAGTATAAGAGAAATTCCCAAGCCATCAAATGCCTCAAGCCAAGTGCCTTCGGCAAGAGTTGCCCGCAGCCCTTTGGACTTTCCAAAGGCACTTGTTTGCATTCTAGAAGATGCTGTATCTAGTGGCTGAAAACACAGGAGAGATGAACACATAAAGGTCAGCAGGTAAAAACGATTTTCAGTGAATGGTAGCTAATTACTTATGGCGTTAGTTACCTGAGTAACAACAACTGTGCAAGCACCAGCAGCAGCTGCAACTAACAAGTTCGCTTTTGTGCCGATAGACTTTGCTCCACTCTTCTCCAAGTAGAGTCTTTTAAAGTAGCTATAGCCATAAAAGTAAACGAATTGTGAAATGAAAGATTGGATGTTCTTTGTCTTAAGGCCCTGATATAGGGATAGAATTTGTCTTTTCTGAACAGCTTCCCAAAAGACATCTGAAAGATTCCTGGAAAAAATAAACACGTGAGGTCACTTATTGTATGAAACAGAGTAACTCAGAACTTCAGAAGAGATGGAACACCATGAAGGCCTGGATGCCAGGACATACATCAAACGCTGGCAAAAATGCATGACACCCAAATCAATTTAACTTTTTTAAGAGTATAAAGGTGCAATCAAGTGAGGTACCAATATGTGAAAATGTCAAGGTCAATGCACATCCCAAATGCTACAAAGAGTTAGCTGGCAAAACCTAATGAATAAGGAATTAACTGGACCATATCATCCAGGTGGATGTTATGGAAGAGAAAAATAACATGTACATGCCAAAGTCCCTCTACAATCTTATATCTTGTGGTGGAGCGATCGGTAAACAAAATATGGAAAGGCAAAATACCTCTCAAGATTAAGATCTTTGCATGAAAATTATTTCTTAGTGAGCTTCCTACTGATGTGGAGGGTAGTGACCTTGAATAAAAATATATAGCTTTTGTGGTATACTTGAGGTTCAAGATCATTTGAATTTTTCAGCGCTCTATGACCTGCTCTGTATGCCTAACTAACCTGCATGAACTAAATGCTGGCTGCTGTTGTCTTTTGGTAATTTCTCTTTGAATCTGGTGGTGTCTCCTAATATGTACTATATGTTGCTTTTAGTGCCAGAGATGCTCCCAACTCTATTCTCTTTCATATTATCTCCTGAAAAACTCTGGCTTTCAATACAAGCAGGTATTGGACCCCTTTGGTTCAGGAAAAAATTACAAGGTATTTCCACCCACTGATTATTTTTTTCTTTTTCATGACTAGTCCATTGATTGGCCACAGAAAAAAAATCTCTATATGCATAACCCTTCTCTCTCTTTTTTTTTTCTCTTTGTGGGGTGCATAATCCTTCCTATTTGGTTAAACCATTCTATAACCAACACCTATTGGTGGGCAACTGGGAGCTGAACCAAACAATCTCCAACCAATCAACATAGTGCCAACATACTATACGATTCCAGATTAAGTGAACTCCTTGTGAAGTGTGAGCCTAATTCAGAGATATAATGCAAACACTAGGTCTAAAGTTCCTTTCCCCCCTTCTAACAACAAAGCTGGCGAAAGGAGACATGGCTGGGGTTTTTCTGCATCCTTTGGCCACCAAATAAGAAATCAACGACAGTTCTATCCCAGGGAAATTATCAACTGGCCTATGCGAAGATCACGACATCCGCCGCTAACGCCAGGTTATCCACGTCAATCGGACCAGTGCATCACGATCAGCCCAAACACTGAATCAGTAGCAGCCAGATCCCAATTCCGACGGGTCGCCTGCCTCTCGATCGAGAACCCGGCGATCTCCCCAGCAAGCTCCTGACAAGGGGATCAGCAATCCACCACATGGCGAAGAGAGGGAGAGAGAGAGAGAGAGAGAGAGGAGCCGCTGGCTGAGCTGCTTACCTGTACTTGTGCGCGCCCGGCTGCGTCTGGAGCTCGGCCTGGAACTTGGTCTTGCAGGTGTCGAGCGGGTAGAGCACGGTGGTGCTGACGAGCGCGCCCACCGCCCCGGACGTGGCCTCCGCCACGCTCTCCCAGTCCACACCATCCCCCGCCATCTCTCCTCCCTCTCCCTCTCCCGCCCGCCCCCGACGAGATCGATCCCTAACTCGCGAGCGGCGTGCGGCGTGGAGAAATCGCGCGGGGAGCGAGCGAGCGAGAGCCGAGAGGAAGAGTAATAAGAGGAAGAGAAATCGCGGGGTAAGTAGCAGCAGCAGCAGCAGCAGGAGGAGGGATAGAAGATGGAGACGGCACGGCAGCGGGATGGCTGGCGGGCGGGCGCGCGCTGTGGTGTGCGAGGGAACGGGGATGATGTGGAGAGAGGACGAGACGGCCGCCGCGGCGCGGAGTCGTGCCCGTGCAAACTCGTGTTGGCTTTGGCTGGCGCTAGTACTTGACTACTGAATAGTTGTCGTGCGCCACGAGGGGTGTTCCCGCGAATCTGCGATGCGTTATCTGGCCAGTAGTCCGCGCGCGCGGCTGTGTACCGTGTAGTGTAATCCCGGGTCGCGTGCAGAGCAGTGGTGTGGTCGCGTGCGCGTGGAACGGTGGGGGAGTCGCGGCGGCGTGGTGGGTGGGTGGGGTGGGGGAAGTGACCGAGGGAGTGGTGGGCGGAGGGTCGGGGACGGTGAGGACGGGAGTCGGAACGGGGTGGCGCGACCGGAGGAGACCGCGAGACCGGTCCGTCGTCGTCGTGCAGGTGCAGTCGCTTCGCTTCGACACGTGAAACGCGTGCCCGGCGTGCGAGTGCGAGAGTTGCCGGTTGGCGGCGCGGCGGTCAGCGCGGATCGTGTTTTTTTTTATACTCTTCTCCGTCACGTTCACGTTGGGATCTTCGTGACAACACGTCGGGGTCTTCGTGACAACCGAGAGATAGTTGTAGTCATAGGTCCTATTTAGTTCTAAAGTTTTTTTCCAAACTTCCAACTTTCCATCACATCAAACTTTTCATACACATAATTTTTCAGTCACATCATTCTAATTTCAACCAAACATCCAAACTTCAGTGTGACTAAACACTTCTATACTGGTGGGGATAACCCATCGGCAAGATCACATCTGGGATATCTGATCAAACTACCGGCATTAGTTGGTGCATTGGTGCGCTATGCATTTGTGCGTGCATTAGTTGGTGCATTGGTGGAGCACCCGTTCGCTGAGATGTGATGTTCGGTGTGCCATGATGATAGTGAATCTGTGAATGCTGCGTTGGTCAATTGCCAATCAGCACAACCTCACACCGGCTAACCTATGCGGACGCAGCAATTTTGCCTGCATAAGCTAATGAAAGATCTCGCTTAGAGTTGCTCGTGCATATTATTTGAGAAAGGGATTGCTGGTCCCAAAAATTGACAGCAATTTTTCGTTCTTGCAACGGGAAAGAGTAACACCCTGTACGCTTCGTGACTGCCACATGGGCGTACGGAGGGCAACCTATCCGTTCACTGTACTCCCTCCGTTCCAAAATATAGCAACTTAGAATCGGATGGGACGTATCCCAGTACTACAAATCTGGACAGGAGACATGTCCAAATTTATAGTACTATGATACATCACATACGATCCTAGATTGTTATATTATGGGACGGAGGGAGTAGCTACCTGTGGTCTGTGCCTCCTTTTGCTACCTTCCGACAATCCGACGAATGGTTTGGTGCACGAATCACGATCGACAGCTCACAGGAGGGTAGGACTTCGACCGGAGCTGCTCGCCAAGACGCCAGCCGGCCCACCTTTTTGCTAACCTTGGCTCGCAAGCCCAGAGTCTAGGCCCAAGTGCATCTCTTTTCCTTCGAGTGAAATTAGGCTTACACTAGCCCATTCAACGCAGATTTTTCTATTGGGGAAAAGTACACCGAAGGTCCCTCAACTTGTCATCGGGATAAAAAACGTCCTCAAACCACAAAACCAGATATTCGGGGTCCCTTAACTATACAAAACCAGTCACCCGAGGTCCTTCGGCGGTTTTGACCCTGGTTTTAGTCTACGTGGCGGTTGAGTCAGCGTGGGACCCACGTGGGCCCCACGTATTAGGATGCCACCTCATCACCTCTCTTATTTCCCACTCTTCTCCCTTTCTCTCTCTTTCACTTTTCTCAGGCCGGCCATGGGCGGCGCTGTGGGGAGGAGGCCGCCGGGGGGAGGGGAGAGAGGAGGTCCGGCGGCCGGCGTCGCGCCGGTGGAGGAAATGCCGCCGTCCGCATCCAACGCGCGCACCGGCTGCTGCCACACCTTCCTCCTCCCCTCCACCTCGCCGCCGCCCGAAACAGCATCGGCTGGGGCACCCGGCACCCATGGTGGAGGCGGCCGGATCCGGCGAGGGCACGCCGGCTGGCGTCGTGCTAGCCCCTGCAAGGAGTCGAAGGTCGTCGAGATGGCTGCAGGCAAACGGTGGGCAACGTGCCGCGGGCGACGGTGGCCGGCGGCGGCATGGATGACGACGGGCCTTCTGCGGCGGAGATGGAGGACGCGGAACCGTGCCCGGATCTAGCCGTCCCATGGCCGGATTCGAAGCTCCCGCGTTGAATCTTGCCAATGGCGGCACGGCAACAACGGCGTCGGCGGCTGGACGGCGGGGAGGCAGCTAGCGCTGGCGGCGGGGCTGAGTGGTGGTGCCGGAGGTGGCGGCGGCGGCGTATGGTGGTGGTGGTGGTGGTGGCGGCAGCAAATCCCGAGACCTGGTGGTGGTGGTGGTGGCGGCGGCGGCGGCCGACGAGGTCATGGTGGAGGCGGCCGGATCCGTGCTCGCGCTCATCCTCCTCCTCGTCCTCTTCACCGTCGCGGCGCGGGCGCAACAGGAGTACGAGGTCACCTCCTCCTCGTCCTCCTTGCCGTCGTGGCGCGGCGCGGGCGAGGGCCATCGGCCGCCGCCTCGGGCGAGGGCCATCGTTCTGCTCCTCCCCACTGCTCTACGCTTCCGCCGTCTTCATCTCCAACCTCCTCAACGTCACCGCCACCGCCGTCGACTCGGTCGCCCCTGTCGCCGCCGACCCCCTCGTCCTCACGTCCGTTGTCGGCGACCTCATCCCCACCCGCTGGCTAGCCTGCCCGAGAGGAGAAGTGAGAGAGGGAGAGAGAGACAGAGAGGAGGAAGGGAGGAGCGGCCATTGACGTGGCATGCTGATATGTGGGGCCCATGTGGGTCCCACGCTGACTCAGCCGCCACGTAGGACAAAACCAGGGTCAAAACCACCGATGCACCTAAAGTAAACGGTTTTGTAAATTAAGGGACATCAGATATCTGGTTTTGCGGTTAGGGGATGATTTTGTAACTCGATGACAAGTCGAGGGACCTTCGGTGTACTTTTCCCTTCTATCGGCCCTCTTCGGCCTGTTCTAGGCTGTGGCAATTAGTGCTTGAGCTATGGATCTGTCTAGTAAATCTATTTTAAATCCTATACTGATTTTGTGGAAAAAAAGTCCAAATCACCCTGAACAAACTGATGTGGCAAGTGGCAACCACGGAGAGTTCGAGTTCCAATACAATACAATTAACCTTTTTCTAAGTAAAATGACCCAGCCCTATGTTGTTGAGGTATGCAATTCTAAATGCATACGTTAACTGAACATTACTTTAGCTCCACAAATTAAGAGTAAAATGGAAATTGATACCTAGGTAACCGTGTAGTGATAAATATTTTCAAATTTTCAAAAGTGGTGAAAACAACGAAGAAGCGAATTTCAAAATATAAGTATTTTTTAGATTGGTACGAATATTTAGAAAATAGATAGAAATAATTGAAGAAAATTTATGATTGGTTGAGAAAAAAAGTTGGTGAATAAACTAAATGGATAATTGTTACAGAGGATAAATATGACACTTTAGAGGAAGACTCAGAGGACGAACAGAGGTTGAGAGATAAAGATCGATAGAGAAACAACTTTATTCAAAATAAGGTGCTATGTTAAAATAATATCTATATTTTGGGACATATTAAGTAGTAAGTTGGTTTCCAGTATTTTTTTTAATGAACTGCACCAGACACTCGTGTTGTTTCATTGAATGGAGTAGGAAAAAACACAAGGCTAAAACCCTGGAAAGGCAGTAGCCAGGAACGAAAAAAAAAACACCACCGTGCACCAATATTGCCTACACACAAGTACACAACAACGCTAGCATTGGACCAGATGCCGCTAGACCAACAACGAAACTACCGCTGAACCGCACTAAACCAAACCCTAACAGCCGAACACCAAACTCAAACTCTATTCACATCTTCGGGATTGAAGGGGAAGAGGGTGAAAGAGAAAAATGGATCCGCTCTCCCCCACAAGGCCCGCCAATATGATCAACTTGCAGAATTTAGGGTGTCGTAGTAAGAGGACAAACATATAGAGAGAGTACACACAAGCTGTCAGAGAGAAGTTTTGGTAAGGAGGCCTCCTAGACGACATCTCCAGGAAGAAGAGTGACAATGAGCACTGACGCCACCTTCCCTTGAGACCTCAAGGAGAACCAAGACATGGTTTTCACCAGGAACGACTCAAAAACGGCCCTAGGAGGGAGAACGACACCAGAAGCGTTGTCATTGCTTGCCCGGCATGGCCGGGCTAGGTTTACACCTGCCGCTCTCCCTAGTCAATTCGCAGCTATTGCTCCACCACCGACTATCCTATCTCAATGCGTGGACACTGCTGTACCGATGACCCCCGCCAACCAGCCTCCGCATACCTTTGTGGCACACTGTCGTCGTCGCCCTTCTTATCATCGCCGCGTTGACCTCCGACGATGTCAGCCAGGGCGGCCTCCTTGCCGTCGCCTGCATTGACCTCTTGACGCCAATCTCCAACTGTTGTCACCTGCGCCGATGTCACCTGCGTCGCCCTCCCGCTGTTGTCGTTGTCTCTACGAGCCGGCCGCTGCCGCTGTCTATGTCGCGCTAACTCTGGCCAGATTTATCGTGGGGGGTTCGGAAACGGGTAGGGATGTAGATCTGGGCACGGCCATGCCGAATCAGCGAACTCCATCACCGCTCGCTGTCCATGCACGGATATGTCCGACTGCGCCATCATTGTCTCCGCTAACGCCATTGCTCCCTACCCCTTCCTGTCACTAAGAGTCACTGTACAGGGGGACGACCTCCCTTGCTAGAGAGGCCAAATCCCGACCCGGGGAGGAGGGAAGAGGCACCAGATCTGACGGCTTCGTGCGTGGTGCACACCCTCTGCCCTGCCGCCTTCTCTCTACCTTATGCTGCCTCTGTGCTCTCCGTCCCGGCACCGGCACGACACCTCCGCCTTCTGAGTCGCCTCAGTACTCCCATCCGATACGACGTCCTCAGAGAAGAAGCATCATACCCCAATCGTTCTTACACTGTTTAGTTTTGACTACCACACTTATGTACCGATCAGGTGGAGGAGGAAGAAGAGAGTGGCGACGGCAATGGCGGTTGGTATAGTTGTTCAGGCCATCTTTTAGGTGGGACCAACGCGGGCGGTCTCCCGTACTTGGAGGTTGGAGGTATCGTGCATCCGAACGACAGACTTCACCCGGTGAGTTCGGCCTCGTGGAACCGGTACGGTTGCAACACCACCGAAAAGCGCCCGCAAACCCGCGTCGCGTCACCATGCCAAGCTGTCCCAACCGTACACGCTCCCGCGACACCCCGCCGACCGCGTCCATCCTCAACCCCTCTCGTGCTCTTGACCGCGCCCACCTTCTCCGGCCCGCGCCGGCCGAGCCAGAGTCAACCACGCCCGCACAACGCGAAAACACCGCGTTTCCCCCACCATTTCCGCCCGAAATCAACCGGGCCAAAAAAAAAAAAAAAACAGCACACCGCCGACGAGATGCGCCTCCACCTCGCCCTCCTCGCCGCGCTCCTCACCCTCGCCGCCGCCGCCCAGCCGCCATTCCGCGGCTACTACTACCTGCTCGACTGCGGCGCCGCGGCGTCCACCACCGACAGCCGCGGCCTCGAGTGGCTCCCCGATGGCGGCTACGTCACCGGCGGCGAGCCCCACCAGCTCCCCGACCAGGGCCTCCTCGACCCGGCGCTCGCCACCCGCCGTGACTTCCCGCACGAGCCCGGGAAGAAGTTCTGCTACGAGCTCCCCGTCGACCGCAACCGCCGCTACCTGCTCCGCCCCACCTTCTTCTACGGGGCCTCCTCGCCGCCGCCGCCCGTCTTCGACCTCATCGTGGACGGCACCTTCTGGACCGCCGTCAACACCACCGACGACGTCCTCGCCGGCAGCGCCTCCTACTACGAGGCCGTCTTCGGCGCGAGCGGCAGGAACATGAGTTTCTGCCTCGGCGTGAACCCGGACTACACCAGCGCTGGCCCTTTCATCAACGCGCTGCAGGTGATCCAGCTTCACGATTCGGTGTACAACGCCACGAACTTCACTACCAGCGCCATGGGGCTCATTGCGCGTACCAAGTTTGGCTCCACCGACGGTGTTGAGAGGTGAGTGCTCGATCACTCTTGCCTTCACTATTATGAACTTCTGCAGTCCCCATTAGGTCCTCTATTACGATTAGCTTAGTGATGAAATGTTGAATGGGGATTACATGATTCACTAGAAGTGAGTATGTTTATTGACTGCAAAGCTGAGCCAATCTTGATATGATGGACAATGATGTGTATTCATAGGTTATAGGGATAAATGAAAATTTTGAAACAAATAAGTAATACTCTTTGGATCATTTTCTTTGATGGACTGAATAACTCAAGTTTTTAGGTTATCTTCTCACGGGTTAATGTGGAGTGATATGCTGTGTTATATTCATGTATTAATTTCTTATGTATGTAAATTTCACAAGATCTGTACAAGTTTTTGACCTGTTTTCCTATATTCAAACTTAGGTACCCTAATGACACCTTCAATCGGTATTGGCAGCCATTCCCAGACAGTAAACATGCAGTCAGTAGTACCCACAATGTCACATCGGCTGATTTTTGGAATCTTCCACCTCCTGGGGTGTTTAATACAGCTTTGGTGGCAGAACAAGATGCACCCTTGGTGCTGCAATGGCCTCCAATACCTCTCCAGAATGATAGCTATTATGTTGCTCTTTATTTTGCTGATACAGTCTCTGAGAGTTCAAGGACCTTTAATGTATATATAAATGATTACAGCTTCTATGAAGGCCTAACAGTAACATCAGCTGGTCTTTCTGTCTTTGCAACACAATGGATTCTCTCAGGCTTGACCAGAGTTATTTTGGCTCCTATTTCTGGCCTTCCTCCACTTATCAATGCTGGTGAAGTCTTTGGACTTTTCCCACTAGGAGGATACACATTTCCTCGGGATGGTATGTCAGTCGCTACATATATTTTTTCTTCCATTTGTATCTTTTTTCGTAATAGGTTAAACTAAATGACTAAAATTCGTGGCAGTATGATCCAATACAAGCTGTTGCTAACCAAATAATCAACTTATGTATTATGCCTTTGGTGGCACTTATGTGGCCAACAAATCATCATTATATATGTAGCAGCAGGTCATCAAAATATGTTTTATGGAAATTTGTTGCTGCATATCAGGTCATGGGACTCGCAAAAAAAAGGGCCACAGTACATTTCACTTTGTAACTCTGTGAGGTGTTAATGTTGTAGCATCACCTATATTTAGATAATGGAAGTATTATTTCCAGCCTTTGCACCAACTAGGATCCATACATCCATATTTGTGGACACCAGAATTTGAACCTTGGTGGGTGGATTCATGCACCCATGACTCCACCACCACAACAATGGTGCTTCCTTAAGTATCTGTATTGAACTATTGACTGATTTTTTTGGTAATGCACCAAGTTGCTTTTACTTGATTACCACCTTTGAATAGTCTGCATATGCATATTTTTATTAGATTAACGTATTAATTACTCCACAATTTCTGCAGCACATGCCCTGGAAGCTATTAAGAGAAGCCTTCAAAATATACCTGATGATTGGAATGGAGATCCATGTATGCCTCATGGATATGCTTGGACTGGAGTTACATGTGATAAAGGCCAAATACCACGTGTCATCTCACTGTGAGTTATCCTCATGGTGCTTATATTATTTGATTTTATTCTTTTCCCCTTTGTGGTAACAATTTTCTGTATTGGTTTACACCAGGAACTTTTCAAGTATGGGCCTCTCTGGATATCTTTCATCTGATATTGCAAGGCTCACCGCTCTGACTGATATGTAAGTTCTGCTGCATATATATCAAACTGAGTGAATGCCAAAATTAACACTATTTCCATGAACAGATCTTTTGCAAACAATAGCTTGTCTGGACCTATTCCAAATCTCAGCAACCTGAGGAATCTCACAAGACTGTAAGCTATTCCTTAGCTAGTCAATTCCCAAACTATTTGAATAATGCTTACTTATCCACTACTTAGGAAAAAAAACTCTTTTCTGTAGGCACCTGCAGGACAACAAATTAAATGGAACAGTACCGCAGACACTGGGGATAATCACATCTTTGCGTGAACTGTAAGTTGACTTGTATAGCTTTTCGTTTATGGTTTGACATTATAATTTCATACTATGTTGATTGTGTCAATATTTTTTTTCATTTGAATACAGTATATACAGCTTCTGCAATTTTTTTTAGCAAAGGGCAAGAGCCCTCCATTTCCATTAATAGAAATGAAAAAGGATCTACCACAGTCTAGAGAAAGAACGATATACAGCTTCTGCATAGCATGTTTATAATTGTCTTAAAATTATACTGTATTCAACATAATGTTATTTCTTGTGCGTTTGAAGAAAACAGTGAAGTTGACACTCAATGCAAAGGAGGGAGTGTTTAAAAAGAGCTCTGCCATTGCTCATCCAGTGAACTACACTGGGAATTATTAGAACTACACTGGGAATTATTCTATTTACTAGATATATATGTGTGGTGTGATGCTAGGAAATCAGCCGCCGCTTGCCCTTTAATGGCCTTCTGCAATACAGAACCTTTCATTAAATTAATGTTATTAATTTGCAATGCACTACCACGTGGATATACAGAAAGTGAAATGACACAATATAAATTTCCAGTACTTCATTTTTAGTATATAGGATCTTACATGACATGCTTTCTCCAATTCGCAATATCTTCCTATGATTTTGAAGTGGGGAGAGATGAGGCTTTGGATTAAGTCCTTCAATAGAGGTAGCAATAGCATGGTACAGCAGTATTTCCATTTTGCTTGATACTTCTGTTGGTCTGTGCATTGTAAGCACAGGTCATTTTTCCTTTGTGTATTTCTCCCTTCCTACCCTCCCTACACATCTTCATTCTCCTTTTCAAACTCTAAAATTGGTGCAATTGGGGCCAACTACCTCTTGCCAGTCCACTTTCTTTTGATTCTCAATTGCTCAAAGAGAGTGGTGCTGTTCAACACAGTTGCCCTGATTCACAATTTAATGTTTTTGAAAAGTGAAAATGGAGTGATAAAATAGCAAATCACCTGCCACAATTAGTTAAATTATATGCATATCTAGTGAACAAAAAGCATTGATAGATTCATTTCAAAGTGCTTTCGAAACATATCTGTTTTGTAGCCATTGAGAATATATTGCAAGAGAAAATAATGGTCAAGTATAATTCTGAAGGCTATGCCAAATCAAAATATGCACTATAAAATTGGACAGAGGGATTAACACTTGACTGAAAAAAGAAATAGGGTACCTGCATAGTACTTGACCCCTTGAAGTATGACAGCAGGCATATTTAGCACCAAAGGTGTAGATGATGTTTATGCTTTCTTTTGTTAAAAAAGATGGATCAAAGCATTAGGTTTTCCACTTGCTTGATTCAATTTCCTGTTTAACCTGGCCATGCAATTTAACCTGTCCATGACATGCTTGTACCATTTTATGTGGTTTCATCGAGGTTTATGCTTGTACCATGTTATGTCAGTTTCATGCTTTATTCTTTGGTGCAATATGATATTGTCAACAAGATGATCTTGAATGTCCATATATGCTTATTGGATTTCATAACCAACATGATGTTTCACCACCTTGTTAGAACAGCCATTTGACAATCTGTTAAAATGTTTCTCTTCATCCAGATTCTTGCAGAACAATGAACTGGATGGAGCAGTTCCACTGAACTTGCTGTTGAATCAAGGTTTGACTTACCAGTAAGTCTCATTTGGTCTCTAGCTGAAAATCTATATTACTAAGGATCATATGTCCATACTCCATAGGATGCCTCTTAATTTCATTCGTATAATTGGTAGGTTTCTTCCGGGGAACAACTTTTTTCCAAGACCACCTCGCTGACAATCAGGCATTTTATTTGCAACCAATTGCTCCCAACTGTACTCAACAGAATTCAAAACTAGGAGGACAATTTGTCGATTCTTTGGGTGGCTACACCAAGATTTTGTTGCCGTTCTGTACATGAAAGCAAGTTTACAGTGTCAGATGATTTGGACCTAGTCAAAGCCGTTAGCAACGGTAGTGAATAGTAGAACTGATTGTACAGTTTGTTGTAGGTTACATTGTCAATATATTCAGGAGGAAGGGTTGTGATACCCAAGAAGTGTTTGATGATCTTTCGGGACATTGCCCTTGAAACTAGAACCGGATACTGTACTGTGAGGCTGTGAAAGGGGACACAATATATATGGTCTACGTCTTTTTTTTTCTTTTTGGTGCTTCAAATTATGCCATTTGTCATTTTGCCGACAACGACAACAAGTTCTGAACAGATGGTGCTTCCAGCATGAATTGATCTTAGAAAAAGCTTCAAGCAAAGGCACTAATCTCCCCTCTCTTTGTCCAAACACGCAAAAATCTGAATTCATTAGAAAAAAAGGATTAAATTTAAGTGGGATATCAAAATGATGCGAGGATGGATCAACATCTGTAGTTGGTGGAACGAAATAGTATTGTCGTTGGCCTGAAAGAGTTTTTAGATGAAACCACGATTTGTCAAAATGCATCCAAAACTTTGGGATGTCTGGATACAACAAATAGCAAAAGTTTTAGAGCATTTGAAAATTTTATCAAAGACATCTTTTCGTCTCGCTGAGTTCTAATGAGAAGTGGAACTATTCCATCCTTTTTCATAAGCACGCGTCTTAAACTATTAGGGCACCTGTAATGGTTATCTATAGGCTCTCTACAAGAGATCCATGTCAGCATATTTTTCTACTTAGAAGAGATTAAATGAAGAGAGAGAGCAAAACTATCTATCTACTAACCTGAAAATAGTCTATAGAGAAAAACGAGGCAATGGATTAGAGATCTATAAATACCCATGTAGACATACCATTGAAATGGTTTACTATTAATCTAGTCTATTGCTGAGATGTACATGTTTTATAGATAACACTTTACTTTACCATTGCGGATGCTCTTACATGTATGTTAATTGTAGCCAACGAGACACTGTACCTGCAACCACAGTTTAGCACATTCTAATTCGAAATCAAGAAAATGACGTCTAATAAGAATATTTTTACTTTAAATTAGATAGTTTTTAATTAAAATAACACACTGAGCTTCTCGAGTAAACAAAACAAACAAAAAAAAATCACCCTGAGCAAGTCAATTTGCGCACACACACCCCATCTGATTCATCAATAACAAAAGACATTGTTCCAATCCAGACGAAACTGATCTACTGATCCACCACCAACACCACCCGACCCAATCACAAACTGTGTGTTCCAAATTAAGCCATTAATTAATAAAACAATATCATTAGGATTAATCTCTCGATTAGAAAAATGAAAAGGGAAAGGCAAAGTCCGAAACGTCCAAAACCCCAACTCGCCGCAAGGGAGAAAGCCATTTACAAGGCAAGCAAGGAATCGGATCCCGATTAATCATCCGCCCAAGTGAGTCCACCCGATTAATCCACCGCCCCCCGGCGCCGGCCGCGTCATGCTCCGGCCATTCCCCTCCTCCAACCGCACCGCCGCCGCCGCCGCCGTCGCCGTCGCCGCCGCCCCCTTCGCCGCCGCGTCGGCGATGCCCCACCCGTCGTCGTCCTCCCGGTCGGCGGGCGGCGGGCACCACGTGCCGTCGGTCTACCCGCCGCCGCCGTCGTCGTCGTCGTCGTCGGCGTGCAGGCACACGCCGTCGTCGGCGACGCTCGATCTCCTCATCCTGCTGCTCGTGCTCTTCTCGGTCGCGTTCCTGCTCGCCTCCTCGCTCGCGCACGTCTCGCGCTCGCTGACCCCGCTGCTCGCCTCGCCCCCGGCCGCCGCGGCGCTCGCCTCCGCGGCGGCCGCGATGCCCTACCTCGGCGCCGCGGCGGCGCTCGCCGGGGCGACCTTCCTCTCCTGCAGCCGCCTCCCTCGCCGCCGCTGCCGCAACCCGCGGTGCCGGGGCCTCGTGAAGGCGCTCGAGTTCGATGTCCAGCTCCAGACCGAGGAGGCCGTGCGCGCAGGCACGGGGAGCACCAGTGGCGGCGCCGACGCCGCCATGTGGCGCGAGATCGAGGCGCTGCCGTGGAAGGGCGGGCAGGGTGGGAACAACCCGGATTACGAGTGCCTCCGCGCGGAGCTACGGCGGATGGCTCCACCAAACGGCCGGGCTGTACTGCTCTTCCGCAACCGGTGTGGATGTCCCATTGCTAAGCTGGAGGGCTGGGGTGTTCCAAAGAGCAAGCGCCGAAGCAAGAGGTGAGTGCCCGTTGACCATATGCCATTCCGTACAACTTCCATCAGATTAGTTCAGTTTCACCATTGCAAGATAGTTCCGACAATTTCCATGCTAGAATGCAAATCTGTTATAATACACTTCAGATAGCAAGAGCATTTCTGTCCTCAGCGTGGGGGGTACAAGTTAGTAATGTGTTTAGATGAAGATTATGTTTGCAGTTTGAGGTTATCTTGTTACATTATCATTAAATCTATATCTTTAGTGTCCTTTTATTTGTAAATGGGCAGTATGGCCATCTAGTTCTGTGTGATCTTCGGAGTGTGATTAGGGGATTTACCTGATTCATCTGTATCAGTATGTCGGTGTGAACTTTTTCATCTAGTTTTCCCTCCAAAACCAATGAATTCTGCCAATACTCCATTCAATGGTCTCCATGGTATTTTGGGCTATTTGGTTTGCGCTGAACCCTACCGTTGCTAAAATTTGGCCATGAGTTTGGGACTCAATAATTGTGGAAAATTAATTAGGCTGCAAGAGTAAATTGCTGTGCTGGAAAAAAAATGTAACCAAATGAATGCAGCATCCTGTTAACATGATCAAATATTGGCAAACATTGTTACCTAATTAATCTTATTTATCTTGTCTTTGTGGACATAATTCGAATTCTATTGCTACTTTTCTCAAGTACGCTGGGGTGTAAATGATTTTTTTTGGGACCATTGTTTCTCTTGATGCTAGGTACCATTATCATCCAGGGTCTAGCGGCCCTAAGCCTAACCCCATTTTTGGATAGACCTCAGCTGCACAATAACTTGCTTTTGCTTTAGTTGTTGCTTCGTGGAAAATGTTTAAACCAGTTATTTCATTCAGACCAGCTGGGTTTATAAGTTGGTTCGGCCTATCAAGATTTTCGAGGTGGTACTAAATTGATTAACTGCTGTTCTGCTCTATCGCTACCACCTACATGCTCATGCACTAGCTCCCTATTGGGCCACTAACAGGCCACAAGTGCTAGCTAGCTAGCTCCGTGTTCCTGGATCTGCTCTGCTTGATCTCTGATGTGCCAGCAGCCCCTTCCTGATTCGGGGCATCACATGCTACCATCCTCAACAAGCTGTATGTCCTCGAGAAACTAACTTACCTATTTCTGAGAAATGACTAGGATTTCCCCTTCTTAGCACACATTTGTTTCTCTAGTGCCCTACATACATGCCATGCCGTGTGCCCACTTTGGGACCACACGCGCCTTGCACTATATGCCCGAGCCCTTGGTCCACAACGAGAGTCTGTTGTAACTGCGAGGGTTGGCTCTTGCACCACTGTAAGTACAGGGTTGAGTGATTGACTCCGTTTCAGGCCTAACCCAATTTTGGATTAGAGCTCACCTGCGCAATTACTTCCTTTGGCTTTTTTCCTAATTTCACAGAATAAAGACTAAAGCTGTATTGTTCTGTTCATACCTGCCAGGTTTACAAGTTCGTTTGGCCCTATCTAAATTTCCGAGGTGGTACTAAATTGATTCACTGCTGCTACCCTGCTCTATCTCTACTGCTGCCGCAAGCTCATGCACTAGCTTCTGATTGGGCCACTACCAGCTCAGTAGTGCTAGCTAGCTCCTTGCTCCTGATCTGCTATTCTTGATCTCTGAGATGAGCCACCAGTCCACTTGGCCTTTTGGGGGTATTAAACACCAGCATGGGAACATGCCGGCATCTAGCCCCTAACCGTCATTGGGAGAAGCACTTGCTAGGCCAAAATTACTTATGTATATCTTAAGGCACTAATGTGTCATACCTTGTTTATAGACACACCTTATAGCACGTTTATACCATTTCTAAGAAAATCAGAAAACCAAAATCTTGAAATGAATTTTGACAATGGAGGGTTTGGAAGTACTGTGTTTGTGGTACTGATGCGATGAGGCGATACTGTCTATCGTTGTTTTATTTCAGTTTGGCATGACTTGAAAAATGCTGCACTGCTGCTGAGATTAATTGTGCTTCACGCACAATTTTTTTTATAAACCGCCTTGGTTTAGACTTTAGAGTACTGTTGATAGCTTGAGCTTTGTAGTTTCTGGAATCGGATTAAAAAAGGATCACCAATTTACATTAGTATCACTTCTGGATGGTTGAAGTTCATAATGAATGCTACTACTCTATCCTTACTGTCACTAATTCTGTTTCTCTAGGACACCAAGTGTCCTGGTATTGGTAGTAGCTTTTCGATTATACCAGTAGCATGTATGTGCTACCAGTTCAATTTTGTTCTCTAGCATATATCTAAGACTAAAATTGCCTGGTACAGCTTATAGGGCAATTATGACATGTAAATATGTGATCTCTGGCTCTCTGCTTAGACTTGTTAGTAGCATGCTCTTGCAGTATTTTTGTAGTATCTATAACTTTGCCTCGTAGCACCGTTGTACACGAAAAACGTTTTCGCTAAGTTATTATTTACCTTTATTGATTGATTGTTACCAAATTTTTTGAGGTCGGGTTCTCGTAACTCTACTTATAGCAAAAGAGTTGTAAAATTTATTTTCTTAAAAGTCCTTCCACTTCATTATCTTGTAATCTTTCTGATGACCTCATATCACACACACAATTTTTGCAACAGCAAAATGCATTCTGCTATGTCAACTCACGTTGACAGCCTGCTTCAGTTAAGAACGTGCAGGCTAGCTGTTCAGTTTGGTTATGCAATTGTATTTCTACTTTCTGAGTCTTAAGTTGGTTGGATTTGACTTGAAGATCGTTGCTACATTAGGATTTGCATAGTACTGGATTTTTTAGAAAAGGAATACATGGTACTGCATTGATTGGCAATTTTTTTGTATAGATGGAATCATGGAACATAGAAGGGCACATCTCTAGATAAATCAGATTAACTGGTGGTACTCTTGTGCATAATTTCTGAACGGAGATCTGGATCCAACATGAATCCCATCTAGTTTTTCTTTTAATTATGAAACTAACTGTTTATTATAGTTAAACTTTATCATACACAGTTGATTTTTAAATCCTTTTAAAAATAGCAGAAGTTTGGGTTTGGATTCAACCATCGCTAGTTCATTGCTAGCTTGTCTGTTAATCTTACCCTAAATACTAAGCATTCATTTACTGATTTTTTTTTCACCGGAAGACTAACCAAAGGGCGTGCTTTGTGTTTGAACTACCATGGTTGCAGGAGCACACTGGGCTTGCCAGCCGATGGAGGGGTCCGGTGAACAAAAGTCTGTTGGCCCCAATGGCAACATTGTTGCTTCAGGCTGCCATAGGGTGGAAACTGTTCAAATAATATACTTCCAGTGAAAAGATACACCGATTACAAGTGGTTGTGCCATGTTTGTATTGTAAGGCGGGATTGGTTGAAATCTCAAAGAAACACTGAAAAAGAAACAAACAGATGCAATAATAAAAGAACTGTGAAAAGGAATAAAAACATTGGATATATTCATGTCACGGTGTTCTGGTTGCCCTCTGCATTTCCTTGACCTGCATAGTGTGTGTAATATAACTCGCCTTGTCGGATGCCCTATGTACTCCCATGTCAGCATATGTCACGGAGTCGCTATTAAGCTGTCGATGGCTAGCTAGCCTGACCTGAGCTCTCCTTTATATCCCCTGGTGTTTGGTTGGTGGCCTGATTTTTGCTGCTGCCTGACCTGATCGCCTGGAGGGTCATTAGCATGAGTCCGTTAGTCCGGCGTCCGAAACTGGATGCCTGAGCTTCAGGCGCCGATGCCCAACACGCTATTTGTGCAATCCCGAAATAAAATGGGCAACCTGGGGCGGATAAGGATCAAAAAAAAAAAAAATTGGGGGACTCAATTACACAGTTTCTTTATTCTTTAACTTCCAACCATCTAGGGACCTTTAGTTTATCATTTATAGTGAAAAAATTAAAGGGGTGCTCCGGGGGGTATCCATGGGTTTTATGAGTTTAGGGGGGACTCAAGTCCCCCGTGCACCCACGTTGGATCCGCCCCTGTGGGCAACTAGAAGTTGCACCAACAAGAGTTCTGTGCCCGAGCTATTTGTGTTGCCTGGTATTACTATAGAATTACCCTGTTTTAAAATATAGCAAACTAAAAAAAAACTACTTCGCGAATGCACGCGAGATGGGTATCCTACAAACATGTCTAGATAACATTGTGACAAGCTTGGGTTAGAGCAAGTTTGGGGGGTGAGGTTGGGGAGGAGGGTGAAGCTGGAGAGGAGGAAGTGATGGATGGCTTAGGATGCAACGGACTGGTGGTGGACAAGGGCGAGCGATAAGGCTACAGGTTAGGGTTAGAGTTTAGGGCTGGGGTTGAGAAGGGTGGCGCTAGGGAGGAGGAAGTGGGGAATCGGGCTTAGAGGGATGACTTAGGAGGTGGCAGACCGGCGTTGGGCGGTTAAGGTGGTGGCATCGTTGCTGGAGTCGCGAGACCGGTAGCTGGCGGTGGGCCAATGTTAGCTGGTGGTTGGGAGTTGGGGAGGAGGGGAGTTAGGCAAAGAGGAGGAGGCCGAACGAGCGAGGCTGTGTCAGCACGTTGACACCTTTCAACATCGGTGAGGTTGGGTGACGGCAATGCTGATGGTGGTGGTTGAAAAAAGAACTAACCTAGTGGTGAAACTCGTTAGAGGAAGGCTGTTACCATTGCTAGAGGGAGGCTGCTCATCCACGACTTTTCTCGTCGTCACATCAGCGTCTCCTCTTCTCCGTCAGAAGAAGCTCGTCAGAGAGAGGTCCGTCGCTGCTCACGAGTCATGAGTAGGGTGGAGAGCAAGAGGAGATAAGGTGGAGAGAGAAGATGATGTCCTAAACTGCTTAGTTGATGGAAGCATTCGTCGGCGCGAATGGCCGACGCGAACAGTCATGTAAAAGAGAGAAAGAGATGAGGGTTTTACCGTAGAAGGGGAGCCGACGCGTGCGCTGCGCTCCCATTTTGCGTCGACGCCGTCTCCAGGTCCCGTCGCTGCGTTGAGCCTTGTCGCCAGGCACCCCCCCTAGCCTTCTTGCCCATCACCCTGCCACCTGCCGACGCTGGCTAGCCTCCTTGCCTTGCCACTGGCCAGCCTCTTGTCCCTAGGGTTTGAAGGGAGAGGGGAAGTGGTGACGGTCAGTGGTGGATCCATGCACAATCTATGGGTCAGCTGACCCCACAACTTTTTGAAAAACGCGCTTAAAATCCTTCATTTTTATGTATAAATTTAAAAAGTTAGAGAAATAATCTCACTTAAAACTTAAATATAAGCTAATAGTTGACCTCGCATGATTAAATTTTTGGCTCCGCCTGTAGTGGAGATTGGTGGTGTGGTGTTCACTTGTGCAGTGGGCTGCGGGCGCGTCCGTTTACTCCGCTCGATAGAATTCTCTCTGCTTCGCCCTTCGCGGTTTATCCGCTACACCGAAAAAAAAATACCCACAAAACCCCGTGAGGCCGTGACAACGCGCCATGGCCGCCGCGGCGCCCGCGCTGCCGGCGTTCGCCTCGCTTCTCCTCCCCTCATCCAGCTCGCCTCCCCGCCGCATCCCGTGGCCCCGCCCTCTGCCTTCTCGCCGGGGCGCTCTCCGCCCCGTCAAGCTGCTCCCCGCCATCTCAGGTGCGGCTCGGCTCGAGTGCTTCTACTCGTACGCTCTTCGGTAGCGCCCCCTCTCGTATGGTTGGGATGAAAACCTTTTCGTGTGTTGTTTCGCGTACTGCAGCTGTGGAGAAGGGCAAGGGCGCCGCCGCCGAAGCCAAGGAGGTGGAGCTGGAAGGGATGCCGCCGGAGTACTACGACGAGGTTAGGCACGTTAATTTGCGTATTGATTCGAGGATGTTGTGAAACCAGGAAATAGTTGTACAGTAACCTAGAACGACCTTCCCATTTCTAGGTGGTCAATAGTAGCAAACCTGTTTGTTTTATCTGTAGCCACACATCCACATGGGAAATTTGTTTGGGTTTGTAAATGTTTACAAACCCAATCAACAATCAACTGTTTATATTTCATTTCATAATGGGCTAATTATACCCTCAATTACCGCTGTTAGCTTCATTGGCAAATAGAAGGACTACAGGGAGGGTTTTGGCACTTGGTTTTTGGGGACTGGTGCTCTGCTCACTATGATAATCAAATTCATCACTAGCACAAAAAAGGAGGTGACTCTGTCTCTATCGTCAATATGCATAAGAAAAAGGCAAATATGTGCTGTTCAACGTTGATGGCTTTCCACATATGTTTCCTGATCAAGCGTGACTATGTAGGTACAATGGTACATAAATGACACTACGCCAGTGTGCTGCAACCGTTAACTAGATCAAGGCTACTTCAGTAGAGTCAATACTCATACTTTTACTCTTGTGGCAAATAACGTCTGCATACCTACAGCTTTCTTGCCGCCAGCTAAGCTGTTATGTCCATATGAAGCTACATTCTCGTTAAACACCAGTGCAGTTAATTCTCCTTGTTATATTAGCAGCAAACATTTTTCTGCACCCATAGATTACCTAGGATTTTTCATGCAGGAATGGCAAGCTCGTCAGCGGGAAAAGACTAAGGAATGGAATGCATATCGGAAGAAAGAGGAAGCTGAGGAAGAAAGGCTAACAAATGAATACCGTGAAATAGGCATGCGTTTGAAAGCTTACCCACAGGAAGAAGTTCGCAAAGCTCGGATTTTGGTTTCAAGTTTTATAAGAGCTGGTGAAGATATTGAAGAGGTAACCTATCCTTATTAAGTCTCCACTCTGCAATTCTATGTTTCATCCTTTTTTCCCAATGCTACTGGTAGTGCAGTTTTTGCTGAATCGTGAACAGAAGATGACAAAACTACGACCTTAGAATCTAACATATGGTTAGTAGATGCATGTTATGCTTATAAACCAATGATTACAGAATTTAGAAATTACTTCATAAACTACTAGTTGTGGATAAAAGAAAAATAGGAAAAAAACTCAAATGTATGAAAGCAATTTAAACTTCTTGAACATTTTCAGGAAGTACTGAACTAAATAACATTTTTTATAACATGAATAATCATGTTATACAGTTGGCCTTTTAGCCATGCTATTATGCACATCATAAAGGATTACCTGCCAGTCTGCCACTGTTCCACAGCTCACAACTGCCTACGCCAAGATCTGTGGCACATCCTACACCATGCTTCATCATCATAGCATCCATAATTCATTTGTTCTACTTGTTACAATTGATAATTCCATTAGTCACAGTTGTCACCTAATTGCACCCCACATAACCATCATATTTGCAATTTTATCTATTTTCCCATGTGTATGCCTTAAGCTACCAGCATGTGCTGTCATATCAACAAGGGGGCAGAGCTTGAGACAATATAAGGGGGCCAACACTAAATGAACTACTAAATTAAATAGTATAGACCACTATCTTGAAACTTTTATGGAGGTACTTTAAACATACAGATACTTTTTTCGAGCACACAGGAGATCTGTGCATCATTTCATTAAGCAAGAGAAAAAAAAAACAACAGGTGGGGAATTAGAATAAACTCTCCCACCCCAACAGCAAGTCTTACAATAAAACAGAAAAAAAAAGGACGGACGCAACCAAGCATTCTAGGAGACAAGGACTATCGACCTAGCCAACAACTCTTGGAGCTTTGAGGCTCCAGCCAAGCATCAAAGTGCTCCTTCATTAGCCACTGTTTGGATAACTGCCACCATACTAGGTGTTGCACCATTGAAAACACAATCATTCCTATGTTTCCAAATCTCTCAAGCAACCAAGATAATGAGCTGAGTTAAATACTTTCTCCTCATCCTTCTGCATACCTTTCACAGCCTTCGACACCAACTAGAGGACTTATGTGTGTCTTGATTTGGCAAGTTGGAACTTGGAAGAGAAGCCAAGCCTTTGTAGAATCAGGGCCCAAACTTGCTGGCTAAAAACACAAGTGACATACAGATATATTTTAAAGGTTATCGCGGGAGAACTGTTAACTGGTTATATTGAAGGAAGAAAAGAAAGGTACACAACCTAGGCCAACGGCCAACCAGGTCAGTTAAGGTTCAATCTGAAACATTTGAATTGGGACGGCATATGCTGTAGACTAATCAGCTGATAGTGTGAGGTACATAAAAAACCTATTAAGGAACTTTAATTGAAACTTTATTATATGTAATGATCTGTGTACAGTTGAACACCCACACTGTACTGTGTCTGTAGTTTCTCTCTGTGGCACCTTCTTTGTTGGCAAAAATATTTGTATGTGACTACTAAAAGGTTAACTCCAGGCTCACACATCAAAGTTCTGTTAACATAATAGCTTGAAAGAGTTTTTTATTAGGTAGGGTCATCAGAGTTGAGTTTTCCTATAAACAGCAGTTTTTTTTTTTTATTAAGCCACTTATGAAATATTTCATTTCTTAATACATTGCTGCTCTACTTTCATAAGCAGGAAATTGAGAAGGCTGCTGAAAGAGGAGAGCTTACTGAACTTGTTCTTATGGTCATATGGAATCGACTTGATGTTGCTCGCCGCGATGTATGCTAATCTTCTCTTTGAATTATCTGATGACTTATGTATTGTTTATTTTTTTATTTATTTCAAGCCCTTGCAGTTTTCATCTTGTTTTACGGTGGTACTAGTCAGTATTCACCCTTTTGTTATCAAAAGTGTGGTTGCTTTTTTTTTTTTTCATTTTGGGCGTAAGATAATCATAGTTGAATGTGCAGAAAATGCTTTCGAGAAACATGTAAGTACGACTCATGGTAAAGAAACTCATTAAGTACGAATGTTGAAGTATTGATGGAACAACAATTGAATTTTGGATTCCCTGCCCCCAAAAAAGGAGGAAATAATTTAGGCTGTATAACACTACAACATACCATTTACTCACCTTGCAGATTTGGACAACTAAAACACCTTGTGAGTTGTAAGAACTCCTAGATCCCATGCATTTATTTTTCTTATTCCACACTGCCACTCAATATTACAACCTGTAAACATTGATTGATATTTAAACTTTTATCACTTCTGTTGCTCAATTGTTGATATCTAGTCTTTCCATAAATTTTCAGCATAGCAAAAGTATATTTGAGAAGGGAGAAATTCCTTTGCCTATAAGTTCTAATATCTACAATCAAGATATTTGACTAGAGGCAGCATAGCAAAAGTATATTTGAGAAGGGAGAAGTTCCTTTGCCTATAAGTTCTAATATCTACAATCAAGATATTTGACTAGAGGGATACCATATTTATTTTTTTTGAAAGAATGGGATACCATATTTATTGTTTAGATATTGACTTATACACCCGCAGGATGAGAGGGATGCCATCAGAAGCCTTGATCTCTTATACAGAAGGGTAGAGGTAAGTCACACAGGTGCACCGCACACAGCCTCCATTATCTTATCATTGTTGGAGGAGTCCATTAAGCTCTTATATTTATATCAATCCTGTTCATTTGACCGCTTCATTGGTCTCTGATGGGCTAATCAGAAACCATAACCTGAATGCAGACGGAAATTTTAAGGAGTGAAGCAACTCCTGCTATGAGATTGCTCAATGACCTTCTGAATCTTCATGATGGATCTGATGATGACAAGTGGTTAAAGAAATGTAAAAAACATATGCTTGAAGTTTTTCCCAGAGAAGACCCGTTCACCATGGTCTTTCCTGCTGGTTTCAACATGGAGGAAGTATGTTAGTTAAATGCATGCCTTTTCCTCATGGGATAAATTGACCATGCTAGAAATTTAGAGTTATTCGAGACTTGAGAATGAAAATTTATGCATGAGACATTTACAAAATTTTAATTTACATGACACAATTCCAAAACAGAGATGCTGACTTTACAGATTTCACACAAAAATATCATCCCCTAGTTGTATTCAAAATTAGTTGTGCCACTTAACATAAGTGTTACCAAGTCTTTTATTATACATAACCTCCTAATCTTAGCCATATACTTCATAGTTGTTAACATTGACAGCAATGAAATTTTCCTTCAAGCAAGCATGGACACTGCCACATCCCTCATAGTTAATTTAGTTAGTCCAAAGATAATATGGAATATCGTTGTCAGTTCATAGTTGAATTCTGGATTTCCTGCTCCTTCTCTCTTTGGTTCTCTCATGCTACAAAAAAATTCTGAATTCTTTCTTTTGTCAGCATCAAGGACAGATCAAGCTGCCACCTCAGGATGATGATGTTCTTCTAAGAGTTGATTTCATCAGGGAAGTTGATGAGCTCTTGAAGGAAGTTCAAGCTGCACATGAAAACAATAAGGTCCCAACTGGTAATGACCCGGAAGCTGTTGCGACCAAGTTGAAGTATCAAGAGAAGCTGCGGACCATACGTCAAGTGGAATCTCTCCTGGAACTGGCATCCTCCCTGAAATGGTGAGGATTGAGTTTGCAGAGGACCATGAAATTCTGCGCACATAGGACTAGAAGTTACCGGCTGAGTACTTGATAGCTGCAATTAGGGTGCAGCCTTTTGAGCTGATTCTCAGGTTTCTGCTAGTTAGAAACTCCTAGCATTTGAATACAAAGGTTAGCTGATATCTGCTTGGGCGTCAATGCATTTTCGTAGAATATTTTCTGCACCTGGGTGTCCAACTCCTATTAGATTTGTACTGCTCTAGTCATTCAGAGTTCAACTGTAACTCAAGCAGTGAGGCTTTGCTCTGGATTAATGTATCATCATGAGAATGGTGTGAGGGTATCTCACACGCTCAAGCTCTAGCATGAGGCAGATGAGTTTCAAGCCAACAAGCTGTGTCTCTAGTGTGCATAATCGAGATGCAGAGATGGTTGAGTACTTGAGTTCTGAAGTTCCCAAGTCAAATACTGTGTAAAGATTTTCGTTTGAAGGAAAAGAAAACATTGAATGTAACATTAGTACAATAACTTGTAAAAGTTTTTTTTTGTATGGAGCATGTGAAAATATCTGGAACAATCCATGGTTTCAACAGTAGCAAAATTTGGTCACATACCAAGGCATCAAACATTCGTATGTTACCATCTACCTCTGCACCCGATGGTGCAATGCAACGCGTGAATGTTGCACGGGCATAGCACGGTTTTCATTTTTGGTCTTGTAAGAGATGGATTGCAAACAATGCCTTTTCAAAGGAAGTGCACCTGGATGCTATGATCAAATATATGGTGCCATCGGATGGTCGAAGCGATATAAAAGAAAATGGACTACCTGAGCTATTGTTTTTTACCCTTATATATCAGTCACTTGATTTAGCGTCTGATGACTCTATATCAATTTTTTCTTGGAGTGAAACAACGAGCAATCTAACTTTTAAATATTGTAATAGACTTACCAGTATGAAAAAAATTGTAATCAATAACCATAGAAACATATATCGGTCGATTCAGGATTTTTTTTGAACGACTCGCATGAGACGATGCGAAGTTCTATTGATAGAGCAGGAAAAAATTACAATATTATAACCCTGGAGGGTCATAACCAGGAGAAAGAAAAAAATATACCACCACCCACACACCGGCAGCGCCAACACACACGACCAGGAGAAGGTTAGCACCGGACCAGCCGCCGCTAAGCGTGACCGGCTGCCGCTAGACCAACAAAGGAACACAGACGAGATCGCCCTACAGCAAGGGGGGGGGGGTGCCAAAACGACGTCTTCAAGAAGAGAAGCGACGGAAGACCGCCGCCGCCGTCCATCAGGGCTCAAAGGAGCCAAGACTGGGCTTTCGCCCGGTAATCACCCTTAAGGGGTGAGATAGCACGACAACGCCCTCAGGAGGGGGAATTCATCGTTGTCGGTCCGGCCAAGGCTGGGCTGGGTTTTCACCCGCCGCTCACCACCTACGAATCTACGGCTGATGCACCGATGCTCCACCACCACTCAAACTCTGCCGACATGTGGGGCCCTGCACGAATGCCCCCGCCGGCCAACCTTCGTGCGCCGAAGACCGCGCCACACCCACCGGCAGCTCCACCACGCACCGAGGTCGCCTCTTCCACCGCCGGCCGCGCCTCTCGCGCCAAGCCGGCCTCGTCCACCGGACGCGCCTCTCGCGCCAATCCGGCCTCCCTCCATCGGCTGCGCCTCTCGCGCCAAGCCGGCCTCCATCTCCGCCGCCCGCACCTCTCACGCCGAGCCGGCCTCTGCTGCCATCGGCTACGCCACTCTGCGTCCAGCCGGTCTCTGACCCCTCCTCCAAACGATGCTGCGCCGGCCGATGCAGCCGTCTGCCACGCCCTCGGCAAGCCGTACGAGGCCGCCATGCTTCCTCCCACCATCGTCACGGTCACCACCTCACCGTCGCCGCCGTCACCTCACACCCAACTCCTTCCCCGCCTCCACTGCCGCATCCTTCGACATTGCCACCGTCTCCTCAGTCACGGCCACTGCAAGTCGGCCGCCGTCGCCGATGCCGCTGTCACCAGCCACCGACGCCAGCAGTCGTCGTCGCAAACCGCCGACACCGCCAACGCAACCGCCCCAACGCCGTCGTCGAGCTCTCCGCTGCCGTCGTGACCGCCACTGGGGCAAAACCATCTCCAGCGCCTGGATCCGGTCGCCGATGCCAGCATCACTGCTAGATCCGACCTCCGTCGCCAGCCTCGCCGCCACCTCCATCCCCGCCGCCATCTCCAACTCCGTCGCCGACGCCCCCAGCAAGAGAAGCAGCACACCACCAGCACGCACGCCATCCCTGTCGCCGTCGCCGCCTCCCCTGCCACCGTTGTCGCCTTTCCCGGCGCCAGCCGCCACCAACTGCCGCCACCACCCCCCCACCTTCAATCCCCGCCGCCACCACCACCAACTGCTGCCGCCACCTCACACCGACCCGCTGCCGGCGGCCTGCCCGCCAGATCCGGCCGCGGCAGCCCGGATTTGGGCGGTCTTCGCCGTCCCGTGCGTGGCCCCCCACCGCGACGGGAGAGGGAGACGAAGACGAGGGTGAAGCCCCGCCGCCGCCGTCCTTGCGGCCGCGCGGCTTTGCCGGCGGCCGCTCGGGCGGCGGCGAGACGGCGGAGGGAGGAGGGGGGAGGAGCGGGCGACGCCGGTGGTTTCCACCTCCCATGTCGCCCGTGGGGGAGGACAACGCGGGGGCGCAATACAACTACTCCCTTTAACTACAAAACGGTCGATTCAGGAATAAAGAACTAAGTTAGTATTTTTCGATTTAGGAACAAACATGAAAATTTGCCGTGGTTGTCACTTGTTATTTATGCTTGTTGTGAATGTCAATAAGATGGGAAAGTGCAGAGGAATCGATTAAACCTGTTTCTTTACAACTAGTGGTAGATAGACTTGATCGATCCATGCTTAAATTGTTACATAGGCACATGCAGATTGCAGAGTAGTGTCAAAATAAATCTGAAATGCCAAATGGGTAGAGAGCACATGTAAAGTTAGAGGAGCCTCCCCTACCCCCGGCGGCGAGAGCTGGACAGATACTGTGTGTGCGGCTGAGATCGTATTCTGTTTATGGGTTTAAATAATATATTCTGGTTAATCTGCACAAGATTTCCGAGAATGCCTTTGATCGACGGTTCGACGCACAACACAAAGTCAGACGTTCAACTGATGGCTCTAGCTCTGCATGTGCACGAGTCCTTTTCTCTCTCCTAATATATTAGCGTACAATCTTTTTGCGTGTCCGAGAAAAAGAGTCATTTTCTCTTTCCGCATCTCCTTGCATGCAACTAGCATCTATTAGGCTCCATGTAGCACGAGGTTTTTGTTGTAAGCGTTAAATGATTTTTCCTCGAAATTTTTTTATCTGATTTGTGATCCGGAGAAGATAGGTGCTGGTGCACCGCTTGTCGGAGAGAGGCCAAAGGAGATAGAAGAAAAAAAAGGAAAAGGAAAAATAATAAAACTGTGTCATGTGATCGTTGCCACGTAAGTTAGACCACGGTCAAACAAAGCTTTGGATTGGGATGATGCAATAAACCAAGTTTAGGTAACTCGATGCATGCTTTGCAAGTTTGTGGATCTAGGTAAAAAAAACATGCTTATAAGTTTAAGAATCGCTGGTGCAATTTACTCGTGTATTTATTTGGTGTACTGTTCTTCTATGAGCCTACTCAAAGTAAGAGAACTTTGACTTAGCACAAAACTAAAATAGTTAAATACCTTACATTTTCAAGCAGAGGGAGTAGATTGTTGTATCTTTTTCCATCGCATCTTTTAAGAATTTTTCCACCTCCCTTATACAAAAATGCATATGGATACCCTGCTGGCTGCAGCAGCTAATCTTTCAGGCTTACCTAATGCAAGATAACCAGTAAATGGATGGTTTGTGTAGTGACCACTTCAAATTCTTAAGCATACCAGCATAATGCCCGTGACACTGCAACGGATTTGTTTTTTAAAAAACTATTTATTATATATTATTTTAAAGCCTCTAAAATATGTTATTCCTATTGTCCAATATATCATAGAGCGATGAGAAATTCCACAATAAGAATATTTCGATATTTTTCTTTTGTCTGGGTCTTGTTTGTATGGAAAGTAAATCTGTAAAATCTTCTCTCACTTTTCGCAGGTCTCTTTTAAAATAGTATAGATATTCTGTTGAATTATGAGATGTTTTTGGTAAAAGTATGTGCCAATGCAAAAGGCCGGTGTGTCACTTGACAACAGACAACACTACATTCATTAAGGGCGTTTACATTGTGTCGAGGTGGCATTCAGCATTTTGGCCTCATTGTTCCCCCAACAAATATTATGTGCCACGTTTGCTTCTGGCACACATATCTGAAGTTCGTGTATCCAACTTTGGTCACTTGTTCTTCAGTCTAATCCTGAATGAGTGCATGGGGCGAGAGCATCGTGAGCGCACTCTGGAGGTCATGGCCCGGTTCCTCCACTGCACAGCCTGCACATGTGTATTTTTGCCTTTTTCCTTGGGTCACGGCATGGGGATTGGGCACAGTGTGAATGGCTTAAGGCCTTGCACAGTGCAAGGACATGGCGTGTGGATTCGTCTACGTGGAGGAAAAAGTAGGTGGGGCCATAGCTTTGGTTTGTTGTTCGCTTCTCGCTAGAGTAATGAGTGCTTTCTTTGCACAAGCCTGGTGCAAGGCCCACTTGGTGAGGAGCAGCCGAGGAAAGTGGGAGAGAGAATGCGAAAGTAGCGGTGGTTGGGTTGGGGTGGTTGGCTCGGGGATGTTGGGGTGGTTGGCTCGGGGATCCCGTGAAAGTAGTTTGCACTGTGAGAGAAGTGGATTCTGTGTATTTATCCTACATGGCATCTAAGATAACTCAAATGAGGGGCTTGCACTGCTACTGGCATAAGAGTTCAGCTAGCATTCCTTTGGCGAATGTAAAATGGAGAAATTACCAGGAGTAACTACTTTGCAAGAGCTACACCTTTTTGAGCTTATAAAAATAATTTATGGTTGAGGATAGAAGGTTGGTTGAGGAGTATAATACGCAGAAATTTGAACTGGATGTGATTGATGGGATAAATAGTACTTGAGAGAGTGACAAGTATTATGAAATACATTTTGAATGGTAGAAAGACAACTAATTTAGGACGGAGATGTATTAAGTAAGAGAAAGTAGTACATCTTTAGCTTCAAAAGATATCCTGGGCACAATAAACAAATTAGTACTATATCCATCCCGTTTTAAGTGTAGTTGTGGGTTTCCGTATCCAACAATGTTGATCGTCCGTCTTATTTAAAAATTTATGAAAAAACATTAAAAAATTAGTCACGCATAAATTACTATTTATGTTTTATCATCTAATAATAATAAAAATACTAATCATAAAAAAATTTTAAATAAGACGGACGATCAAACCTTGTGCATAATCAGTTCCAAATTGTACTAGGGCGTTCTCTATAATTTTTATCGTTTCTGATACTGACGGTGTGGAGTAGTACTGGTATGTTTTCTGTATCTTTTTAGTCATGGTTGTATCTGTTGATTACTACTCTGTCAAAAAAAAAAAAAAAGATAACTCTTAGCTATTGAATTATTTTTGGACGG